GGGAGATGGAAGGCGGGAGAATGGGGCGGGGTGATGGATAGAGGGAGAATGGGGCGGGATGATGGAAAGCGGGAGAATGGGGCGGGTGATGGAAAGCGGGAGAATGGGGCGGGGTGATGGAAAGATTGTGAATGGGGCGGGGTGATCGAAAGCGAGAGAATGAGGCGGGGTGATGGAAAGAGGGAGAATGGGGCGGGGTGATGGAAAGCGAGAGAATGGGGCGGGTTGATGGAAAGAGGGAGAATGGGGAGGGGTGATGGAAAGAGGGGAAATTGGGCAGGGTGATGGAAAGCGGGAGAATGGAGCGGGGTGATGGAAAGCGGGAGAATGGGGCGGGTGATGGAAAGCGGGAGAATGGGGCGGGGTGATGGAAAGCGGGAAAATGGGGCGGGGTGATGGAAAGAGGGAGTATGGGGCGGGGTGATGGAAAGAGGGAGAATGGGGCGGGGTGATGGAAAGCGGGAGAATGGGGCAGGGTGATGGAAAGAGGGAGAATGGAGAGGAGTGATAGAAAGAGGGAGAATTGGGGGGGGTGATGGAAAACAGGAGAATGGAGCGGGGTGATGGAAAGCGGGAGAATGGGGCGGGGTGATGGAAAGCGGGAGAATGGGGCGGGGTGATGGAAAGAGGGAAAATGGGGCGTGGTGATGGAAAGCGGGAGAATTGGGCGGGGTGATGGAAAGCGGGAGAATGGAGCGGGGTGGTGGAAAGCGGGAAAACGGGGCGGGGTGATGGAAAGAGGGAGAATGAGGAGGGGTGATGGAAAGAGGGAGAATTGGGCGGGGTGATGGAAAGAGGGAGAATGGGGCGGGGTGGTGGAAAGAGGGAGAATGGGGCGGGGTGATGGAAAGCGGGAGAATGGGGTGGGGTGATGGAAAGAGGGACAATGGGGAGGGGTGATGGAAAGAGGGAGAACTGGGCGGGGTGATGGAAAGCGGGAGAATGGAGCGGGGTGATGGAACGAGGGAAAATGGGGCGGGGTGAAGGAATGCGGGAGAATGGGGCGGGGTGATGGAAAGAGGGAGAATGGGGCGGGGTGATGGAAAGCGGGAGAATGGGGAGGGGTGATGGAAAGCGGGAGAATGGGGCTGGGTGATGGAAAGCGGGAGAATGGGGCGGGGTGATGGAAAGCGGGAGAATGGGGCGGGGTGATGGAAAGCGGGAGAATGGGGCGGGGTGATGGAAAGCGGGAGAATGGGGCGGGGTGATGGAAAGTGGGAGAATTGGGCGGGGTGATGGAAAGAGGGAGAATGGGGCGGGGTGATGGAAAGCGGGAGAATGGGGAGGGGTGATGGAAAGCGGGAGAATGGGGCTGGGTGATGGAAAGCGGGAGAATGGGGCGGGGTGATGGAAAGCGGGAGAATGGGGCGGGGTGATGGAAAGCGGGAGAATGGGGCGGGGTGATGGAAAGCGGGAGAATGGGGCGGGGTGATGGAAAGTGGGAGAATTGGGCGGGGTGATGGAAATCGGGAAAATGGGGCGGGTGATGGAAAGCGGGAGAATGGGGCGAGGTGATGGAAAGAGGGAGAATGGGGCGGGGTGATGGAAAGAAGGATAATTGGGCGGGGTGATGGAAAGCGGGAGAATGGAGCGGGGTGATGAAAACCGGGAGAATGGGGCGGAGTGATGGAAAGCGGGAGAGGGGCGGGGTGATGGAAATCGGGAGAATGGGGCGGGGTGGTGGAAAGCGGGAGAATGGGGCGGGATGATGGAAAGCGGGAGAATGGGGCGGGTAATGGGAAGAGGGAGAATGGGGCGGGGTGATGGAAAGCGGGAGAATGGGGCGGGGTGATGGAAAGCGGGAGAATGGGGAGAAGGGGGACGCCCCATGCTTGTGGAGGTGGATGAAGCGGTGACATTTCTTCTTTCATGAAATATCACCCCACGGGACATGTCATGACGGGAGAATGAGTTGTCCACGGGGTGTATGATTCGGAGTCTCAGCTCCCGCTTATGACCCATCACTCCCAACTGCCCCATTCTCCCATTCTCCCGTGGACAACTCATTCTCCCTCTTTTCATCACCCCGCCCCATTCTCCCTCTTTCCATCACCCCTCCCCATCCTTCTTCTTTCCATCGCCCCGCCCCATTCTTCCGCTTTTCATCACCCCGTCCCATTCTCCCTCTTTCCATCACCCCTCCCCATTCTCCCGCTTTCCATCATCCCGCTCCATTCTCCCGCTTTCCATCACCCCGCCCCATTCTCCCGCTTTCCATCACCCCGCCCCATTCTCCCTCTTTCCATCACCCCGCCTTATTTTCCCGCTTTCCATAACCCCGCCCCATTCTCCCGCTTTCCATCACCCCGCCCCATTCTCCCGCTTTCCATCACCCCGCCCCATTCTCCCGCTTTCTATCACCCCGCCCCATTCTCCCTCCTTCCATGACCCCGCCCCATTCTCCCTCCTTCCATCACCCCGCCCTATTCTCCCTCCTAACATCACCCCGCCCCATTCTCCCGCTTTCTATCACTCCGCCCCATTCTCCCGCTTTCTATCACCCCGCCCCATTCTCCCGCTTTCCATCACCCCGCCCCATTCTCCCGCTTTCCATCACCCCGCCCCATTCTCCCGCTTTCCATCACCCCGCCCCAGTCTCCCGCTTTCCATCACCCCGCCCCCTTCTCCCTCCTTCCATCACCCCGCCCCATTCTCCCTCCTTCCATCACCCCGCCCCATTCTCCCGCTTTCCATCAGCCCGCCCCATTCTCCTGCTTTCCATCACCCCGCCCCATTCTCCCGCTTCCCATCACCCCACCCCATTCTCCCGCTTTCCATCACCCCGCCACATTTTCCCGCTTTCTATCACCCCGCCCCATTCTCCCTCCTTCCATCACCCCGCCCCATTCTCCCGCTTCCCATCACCCCACCCCATTCTCCCGCTTTCCATCACCCCGCCACATTTTCCCGCTTTCTATCACCCCGCCCCATTCTCCCTCCTTCCATCACCCCGCCCCATTCTCCCGCTTTCCATCACCCCGCCCCATTCTCCCGCTTTCCATCACCCCGCCCCATTCTCCCGCTTTCCATCATCCCGCCCCATTCTCCCTCCTTCCATCACCCTGCCCCATTCTCCCGCTTTCCATCACTCCGCCCCATTCTCCCTCCTTCCATCACCCCGCCCCATTCTCCCTCCTTCCATCACCCCGCCCCATTCTCCCGCTTTCCATCACCCCGCCCCATTCTCCCGCTTCCCATAACCCCACCCCATTCTCCCGCTTTCCATCACCCCGCCACATTCTCCCACTTTCCATCACCCCGCCCCCTTCTCTCTCCTTCCATCACACCGCACCATTCTCCCTCCTTCCATCACCCCACCCCATTCTCCCGCTCTTCATCAGCCCGCCCCATTCTCCCGCTTTCCATCACCCCTCCCCTTTCTCCCGCTTTCCATCTCCCCACCCCATTCTCCCGCTTTCCATCACCCCGCCCCTTTCTCCCGCTTTCCATCACCCGGCCCCATTCTTCCGCTTCCCATCATCCCGCCCCATTCCCCCGCTTTCCATCACCCCTCCCCATTCTCCCTCCTTCCATCACCCCGCCCCATTCTCTCGCTTTCCATCACCCCGCCCCCTTCTTCCTCCTTCCATCACCCCGCCCCATTCTCCCTCCTTCCATCACCCCGCCCCATTCTCCCTCCTTCCATCACCCCGCCCCATTCTCTCGCTTTCCATCACCCCGCCCCATTCTCCCGCTTCCCATAACCCCGTCCCATTCTCCCGCTTTCCATCACCCCGCCCCATTCTCCCGCTCTCCATCACCCCGCCCCATTCTCCCGCTTCCCATCACCCCGCCCCATTCTCCCGCTTTCCATCACCCCGCCCCATTCTCCCTCCTTCCATCACCCCGCCTCATTCTCCCTCCTTCCATCACCCCGCCCCATTCTCCCGCTTTCCATTACCCCGCCCCATTCTCCTGCTTTCCATCACCCCGCCCCTTTCTCCCACTTTCCATCACCCCGCCCATTTTCCCGCTTTCCATAACCCCGCCCCATTCTCCTGCTTTCCATCACCCCGCCCCATTCTCCTGCTTTCCATCACCCCGCCCCATTCTCCCTCCTTCCATCACCCCGCCCCATTCTCCCTCCTTCCATCACCCCACCTCATTCTCCCTCCTTCCATCACCCCGCCCCATTCTCCCGCTTTCCATCACCCCGCCCCATTCTCCCGCTTTCCATCACCCCGACCCATTCTCCCGCTTTCCATTACCCTGCCTCATTCTCCCGCCTTCCATCACCCTGCCCCGTTCTCCAGCTTTCCATCACCCTGCCCCATTCTCCTGCTTTCCATCACCTTGCCCCATTCTCCCGCTATCCATCACCCCGCCCCATTCTCCCTCCTTCCCTCACCCCGCCCCATTCTCCCTCCTTCCATCACCCCGCCCCATTCTCCCTCCTTCCATCACCCCGCCCCATTCTCCCTCCTTCCATTACCCCGCCCCATTCTCCCGCTTTACATCAGCCCGCCCCATTCTCCCGCTTTCCATCAACCCGCCCCATTCTCCCGCTTTCCATCACCCCGCCCCATTCTCCCGCTTTCCATCACCCCGCCCCATTCTCCCGCTTTCCATCACCCCGCCCCATTCTCCCTCCTTCCATCACCCCGCCCCATTCTCCCGCTTTCCATCACCCCGCCCCATTCTCCCTCCTTCCATCACCCCGCCTCATTCTACCTCCTTCCATCACCCCGCCCCATGCTCCTGCTTTCCATCACCCCGCCCCATTCTCCCGCTTTTCATCACCCCGCCCCATTCTCCCACTTTCCATCACCCCGCCCCATTCTCCCGCTTTCCATCACCCCGCCCCATTCTCCCGCTTTCCATCACCCCGCCCCATTCTCCCATCACCCCGCCCCATTCTCCCGCTTTCCATCACCCGCCCCATTCTCCCGCTTTCCATCACTCCGCCCCATTCTCCCGCTTATCATCGCCCCGAAACATTCTCCTGCTTTCCATCACCCCGCCCCAATCTCCCTCTTTCCATCAACCCACCCCATTCTTCCTCCTTCCATCTCCCCGCCCCATTCTCCTGCCTTCCATCACCCCGCCCCATTCTCCCGCTTTCCATCACCCCGCCCCATTTTCCCGTTTTCCATCACCCCGCCCCATTCTCCTGCTTTCCTTCACCCCGCCCCATTCTCCCGCTTTCCACCACCCCGCCCCATTCTCCCGCTTTCCATCACCCCGCCCCATTCTCCCGCTTTCCTTCACCCCACCCCATCCTCCCACCTTCCATCACCCCGCCCCATTCTCCCTCCTTCCCATCACCCCAAACCATTCTCCCGCTTTCCATCACCCCACCCCATTCTCCCGCTTTCCATCACCCCGCCCCATTCTCTCGCTTTCCATCACCCCGCCCCATTCTCCCGCTTTCCATCACCCCGCCCCATTCTCCCGCTTTCCATCACCCCTCCCCATTCTCCCTCCTTCCATCACCCCGCCCCATTCTCCTTCCTTCCATCACCCCGCCCCATTCTCCCACTTTCCATCACCCCGCCCCATTTTCCCGTTTTCCATCACCCCGCCCCATTCTCCCGCTTTCCATCACCCCTCCCTATTCTCGTTGCTTCCATCAACCCGCCCCAATCTCCCTCCTTCCATCACCACACCCCATTCTCCCGCTTTCCATCACCCCGCCCCATTGTACCGCTTTCCATCACCCCGCCCCATTCTCCCGCTTCCTATCACCCAGCCCCATTCTCCCGCTTTCCATCACCCCGTCCCATTCTCCCTCCTTCCATCACCCCGCCCCATTTTCCCTCCTTCCATCACCCCGCCCGATTTTCTTGCCTTCCATCACCCCGCCCTATTCGCCCGCTTTCCATCACCCCTCCCCATTCTCGCGCTTTCCATCATCCTGCCCCATTCTCCCGCTTTCCATCACCCCGCCCCATTCTCCCGCTTTCCATCACCCCGCCTCATTCTCCCTCCTTCCATCACCCCACCTTATTCTCTCGCTTTCCATTACCCCGCCCCATTCTCCCGCTTTCCATCAACCTGCCCCATTCTCCCGCTTTCCATCACCCCGCCCCATTCTCCCGCTTTCCATCACCCCGCCCCACTCTCCCGCTTTCCATCACCCTGCCCCATTCTCCCGCTTTCCATCACCCCGCCCCATTCTACCGATTTCCATCACCCCGCCCAATTCTCCCGCTTTCCATCACCCGGCCCCATTCTCCCGCTTTCCCTCACCCTGTCCCAGTCTCCCGCACTCCATAGCCCCGCCCTATTCTCCCGCTTTCCATCACCTCGCCCCCTTCTCCCGCTTTCCATCACCCCGCCCCAATCTCCCTCCTTCCATCACCCCACCCTATTCTCCCGCTTTCCATCATCCCGCCCCATTCTCCCGCTTTCCATCACCCCGCCCCATTCTCCCGCTTTCCATCACCCCGCCCCATTCTCCCTATTTCCATCACCCTGCCCCATGCTCCCTCGTTCCATCACCCCGCCCCATCCTCCCTATTTCAATCACCCCGCCCCATTCTTCCGCTTTCCATCACCCCGCCCCATTCTCCAGCTTACCATCACCCCGCCCCATTCTCCCGCTTTCCATCACCCCGCCCCGTTCTCCAGCTTTCCATCACCCTGCCCCATTCTCCCGCTTTCCATCAACCCGCCCAATTCTCCCGCTTTCCATCATCCCGCCCCATTCTCCCGCTTTCCATCACCCCGCCCCATTCTCCCGCTTTCCATCACCCCGCCCCATTCTCCCGCTTTCCATCACCCCGCCCCATTCTCCCGCTTTCCATCACACCGCCCCATTCTTCCGCTTTCCATCACCCCGCCCCATTCACCCCGCCCCATTCTCCCTCTTTCCATCAACCCGCCCCATTCTCCCGCTTTTTTTTCACCCCGCCCCATTCTCCCTCTTTCCATCACCCCACCCCATTCTTCCGCTTTTCATCACCCTGCCCCATTCTCCCTCTTTCCATCACCCCGCCCCATTCCCCCTCTTTCCATCAGCCCGCCCCATTCTCCCACTTTTCTTCACCCCGCCCCATTCTTCCGCTTTTCATCACCCTGCCCCATTCTCCCGCTTTCCATCACCCCGCCCCATTCTCCCGCTTTCCATCATCCCGCCCCATTCTCCCGCTTTCCATCACCCTGCCCCGTTCTCCCGCTTTCCATCACTCCGGCCCATTCTCCCGCTTTCCATCACCCCGCCCTATTCTCAAGCTTTCCATCACCCCGCCCCATTCTCCCGCTTTCCATCACCCCGCCCCATTCTCCCGCTTTCCATCACCCCGCCCCATTCTCCCGCTTTCCATCACCCCGCCCCATTCTCCCGCTTTCCATCACCCCGCCCCATTCTCCCGCTTTCCATCACCCCGCCCCATTCTCCTGCTTTCCATCACCCCGCCCCTTTCTCCCTCTTTCCATCACCCCGCCCCATTCTCCCGCTTTCCATCACCCCGCCCCATTCTCCCGCTTTCCATCACCCCACCCCATTCTCCCGTTTTCCATCACCCCGCCCCATTCTCCCGCTTTCCATCACCCCGCCCCATTCTCAAGCTTTCCATCACCCCGCCCCATTCTCCTGCTTTCCATCACCTCGCCCCATTCTCCCGCTTTCCATCACCCCGCCCTATTCTCCCGCTTTCCATCACCCCGGCCCATTCTCCCGTTTTCCATCACCCCGTCCCATTCTCCTGCTTTCCATCACCCCGCCCTATTCTCCCGCTTTCCATCACCCCGCCCCATTCTCCCGCTTTCCATCACCCCGTCCCATTCTCCCTCTTTTCATCACCCCGCCCCATTCTCCCTCTTTCCACCACCCCGCCCCATTCTCCCGCTTTCCATCACCCCGGCCCATTCTCCCTATTTCCATCACCCCGCTCCATTCTCCCACTTTCCATCACCCCGCCCCATTCTCCCGCTTTCCGTCACCCCGCCCCATTCTCCCGCTTTCCATCACCCCGCCCCATTCTCCCTCTTTCCATCACCCTGCCCTAGTCTCCCTCTTTCCATCACCCCGCCCCATTCTCCCTATTTCCATCACCCTGCCCCATGCTCCCTCTTTCCATCACCCCGCCCCATCCTCCCTATTTCCATCACCCCGCCCCATTCTTCCGCTTACCATCACCCCGCCCCATTCTCCAGCTTACCATCACCCCGCCCCATTCTCCCGCTTTCCATCACCCCGCCCCATTCTCCAGCTTTCCATCACCCCGCCCCATTCTCCCGCTTTCCATCAACCCGCCCAATTCTCCCGCTTTCCATCTCCCCGCCCCATTCTCCCGCTTTCCATCACCCCGCCCCATTCTCCCGCTTTCCATCACCCCGCCCCATTCTCCCGCTTTCCATCACCCCGCCCCATTCTCCCGCTTTCCATCACCCCGCCCCATTCTTCCGCTTTCCATCACCCCGCCCCATTCACCCTGCCCCATTCTCCCTCTTTCCATCAACCCGCCCCATTCTCCCGCTTTTCTTCACCCCGCCCCATTCTCCCTCTTTCCATCACCCCACCCCATTCTTCCGCTTTTCATCACCCTGCCCCATTCTCCCTCTTTCCATCATCCCGCCCCATTCCCCCTCTTTCCATCAGCCCGCCCCATTCTCCCGCTTTTCTTCACCCCGCCCCATTCTTCCGCTTTTCATCACCCCGCCCCATTCTCCCGCTTTCCATCACCCCGCCCCATTCTCCCGCTTTCCATCACCCCGCCCCATTCTCCCGCTTTCCATCACCCTGCCCCGCTCTCCCGCTTTCCATCACTCCGCCCCATTCTCCCGCTTTCCATCACCCCGCCCTATTCTCAAGCTTTCCATCACCCCGCCCCATTCTCCCGCTTTCCATCACCCCGCCCCATTCTCCCGCTTTCCATCACCCCGCCCCATTCTCCCGCTTTCCATCACCCCGCCCCATTCTCCCGCTTTCCATCACCCCGCCCCATTCTCCCGCTTTCCATCACCCCGCCCCATTCTCCCGCTTTCCATCACCCCACCCCATTCTCCCGCTTTCCATCACCCCGCCCCATTCTCCCTCTTTCCATCACCCCGCCCCATTCTCCCGCTTTCCATCACCCCGCCCCATTCTCCCGCTTTCCATCACCCCACCCCATTCTCCCGTTTTCCATCACACCGCCCCATTCTCCCGCTTTCCATCACCCCGCCCCATTCTCCCTCTTTTCATCACCCCGCCCCATTCTCCCTCTTTCCATCACCCCACCCCATCCTTCCTCTTTCCATCGCCCCGCCCCATTCTTCCGCTTTTCATCACCCCGTCCCATTCTCCCTCTTTCCATCACCCCTCCCCATTCTCCCGCTTTCCATCATCGCGCCCCATTCTCCCGCTTTCCATCACCCCGCCCCATTCTCCCGCTTTCCATCACCCCGCCCCATTCTCCCTCCTTCCATCACCCCGCCCTTATTCTCCCGCTTTCCATAACCCCGCCCCATTCTCCCGCTTTCCTTCACCCCGCCCCATTCTCCAGCTTTCCATCACCCCGCCCCATTCTCCCGCTTTCTATCACCCCGCCCCATTCTCCCGCTTTCCATCACCCCGTCCCATTCTCCCGCTTTCCATCACCCCGCCCCATTCTCCCGCTTTCTATCACCCCGCCCCATTCTCCCTCCTTCCATCACCCCGCCCCATTCTCCATCCTTCCATCACCCCGCCCTATTCTCCCTCCTTACATCACCCCGCCCCATTCTCCTCCTTTCCATCACCCCGCCCCATTCTCCCTCTTTCCACCACCTCGCCCCATTCTCCCGCATTCGATCACCACGCCCCATTCTCCCTCCTTCCATCACCCCGCCCCATTCTCGCGCTTTCCATCACTCCGCCCCATTCTCCCGCTTTCCATCACCCCGCCCATTTTCCCGTTTTCCATCACCCCGCCCCATTCTCCTGCTTTCCATCACCCCGCCCCATTCTCCCGCTTTCCATCACCCCGCCCCATTCTCCGGCTTTCCATCACCCCACCTCATCCTCCCACCTTCCATCACCCCGCCCCATTCTCCCGCTTTCCATCACCCCGCCCCATTCTCCCGCTTTCCATCACCCCGCCCCATTCTCCCGCTTTCCATAACCCCGCCCCATTTTCCCTCTTTCCATCACCCCACCCCATTCTCCCGCTTTCCATCACCCCGCCCCATTCTCCCGCTTTGTATCACCCCGCCCCATTCTCCCTCCTTCCATCACCCCGCCCCAATCCCCTCCTTCCATCACCCCGCCCTATTCTCCTTCCTTCAATCGGTCCGCCCCATTCTCCCGCTTTCCATCACCCCGCCCCATTCTCCCGCTTTCCATCACCCCGCCCCATTCTCCCGCTTTCCATCACCCCGCCCCATTCTCCCGCTTTCCATCACCCCGCCCCGTTCTCCCGCTTTCCATCACCCCGCGTCATTCTCCCGCTTTCCATCACCCGCCCCATTTCCCCGCTTTCCATCACCCCGCCCCATTCTCCCGCTTTCCATCACCCCGCCCCACTCTTCCGCTTCCCATCATCCCGCCCCATTCCCCCGCTTTCCATCACCCCTTCCCATTCTCCCTCCTTCCATCACCCTGCCCCATTCTCTCGCTTTCCATCACCCCGCCCCATTCTCCCGCTTTCCATCACGCCGCCCCATTCTCCCGCTTTCCATCACCCCGCCCCATTCTCCCTCCTTCCATCACCCCGCCCCATTCTCCCGCTTTCCATCACCCCGCCCCATTCTCCTTTCTTCCATCACCCCGCCCCATTCTCCCTCATTCCATTACCCCGCCCCATTCTCCCGCTTTCCATCACCCCGCCCCATTCTCCCGCTTCTTATAACCCCACCCCATTCTCCCGCTTTCCATCACCCCGCCACATTTTCCCACTTTCCATCAACCCGCCCCCTTCTCTCTCCTTCCATCACCCCGCCCCATTCTCCTTCCTTCCATCACCCCGCCCCATTCTGCCGCTTTCCATCAGCCCGCCCCATTCTCCCGCTTTCCATCACCCCGCTTCTTTCTCCCGCTTTCCATCTCCCCGCCCCATTCTCCCGCTTTCCATCACTCCGACCCATTCTCCCGCTTTCCATTACCCCAACCCATTCTCCCACTTTCCATCACCCCGCCCCATTCTCCCTCCTTCCATCACCCCGCCTCATTCTCTCTCCTTCCATCACCCCGCCCCTTTCTCCCGCTTTCCATCACCTCGCCCCATTCTCCCGCTTTCCATCACCCAGCCCCATTCTCCCGCTTTCCATCACCCCGCCCCATTTTCCCGCTTTCCATCACCCCGCCCCATTCTCCCGCTTTCCATCACCCTGCCCCAATCTTCCGCTTTCCATCACCCACCCCATTCTCCCTCCGTCCATCACCCCGCCCCATTCTCCTGCTTTCCATCACCCAGCCCCATTCTCCCGCTTTCCATTACCCCGCCCCATTCTCCTGCTTTCCATCACCCCACCCCATTCTCCCTCCTTACATCACCCCGCCTCATTCTCCCTCCTTCCATCACCCCGCCCCATTCTCCCGCTTTCCATCATCCCGCCCCATTCTCCCTCCTTCCATCACCCCGCCCCATTCTCCCTCCTTCCATCACCCCGCCCCATTCTCCCGCTTTCCATCACCCCGCCCCATTCTCCCGCTTCCCATCACCCCACCCCATTCTCCCGCTTTCCATCACCCCGCCACATTCTCCCGCTTTCTATCACCCCGCCCCATTCTCCCTCCTTCCATCACCCCGCCCCATTCTCCCGCTTTCCATCACCCCGCCCCATTCTCCCGCTTTCCATCACCCCGCCCCATTCTCCCTCTTTCCATCACCCCGCCCCATTCTCCCGCTTTCCATCACCCCGCCCCATTCTCCCGCTTTCCATCACCCCGCCCCATTCTCCCTCTTTCCATCACCCCGCCCCATTCTCCCGCTTTCCGTCACCCTGCCCCATCTTCACTCTTTCCATCACCCCGCTCCATTCTCCCGCTTTCCATCACCCCGCCCAATTCTCCCTCTTTCCATCACCCCTCCCCATTCTCCCTCTATCCATCACCCCGCCCCATTCTCCCGCTTTCCATCACCCCGCCCCATTCTCCCTCTTTCCATCACCCGGCCCCATTCTCCCTCTTTCCATCACCCCGCCCCATTCTCCCGCTTTCCATCACCCCGCTCCATTCTCCCGCTTTCAGTCACCCCGCCGCTCCATTCTCCCGCTTTCCAACACCCTGCCCCATTCCCACTCTTTCCATCACCCCTCCCCATTCTCCCTCTTTCCATCTCCCCGCACCAATCTCCTGCTTTCTATCACCCCGCCCCATTCTCCCTCTTTCCATCACCCCGCCCCATTCTCCCACCTTCCATCACCTCGCCCCATTCTCCATCTTTCCATCACCCTGCCCAATTCTCCCCCTTTCCATCACCCCACCCCATTTTCCCGCCTTCCATCACCCCGCCCCATTCTCCCTCTTTCCATCACCCCGCCCCATTCTCCGCTTTCCATCACCCCGCCCCATTTTCCCGATTTCCATCACCCCGCCCCATTCTCTCGCTTTCCATCACCCCGCCCCATTCTCCCGCTTTCCATCACCCTGCCCCATTCTCCCGCTTTCCATCACCCCGCCCAATTCTCCCTCTTTCCATCACCCCTCCCATTCTCCCTCTTTCCATCACCCCGCCCCATTCTCCCGCTTTCCATCACCCCGCCCCATTTTCCCGATTTCCATCACCCCGCCCCATTCTCCCGCTTTCCATCACCCCGCCCCATTCTCCCGCTTTCCATCACCCCGCCCCATTCTCCCGCTTTCCATCACCCAGCCCCATTCTCCCTCTTTCCATCATCCCGCCCCATTCTCCCGCATTCCATCACCCCGCCCCATTTTCCCTCCTTCGATCACCCCGCTCCATTCTCCCGCTTTCCATCACCCCGCCCAATTCTCCCTCTTTCCATCACCCCTCCCCATTCTCCCTCTTTCCATCACCCCGCCCCATTCTTCCGCTTTCCATCACCCCGCCCCATTCTCCCTCTTTACATCACCCCGCCCCATTCTCCCTCTTTCCATCACCCCGCCCCATTCTCCCGCTTTCCATCACCCCGCCCCATTCTCCCTCTTTCCATCACCCCCGCCCCATTCTCCCACTTTCCATCACCCCGCCCCATTCTCCCTCTTTCCATCACCACGCCCCATTTTCCCTCTTTCCATCACCCCGCCCCATTCTCCCGCTTTCCATCACCCCGCCCCATTCTCTCGCTTTGGATCACCCCGCTCCATTCTCCCGCTTTCCATCACCCCGCCCTTTTCTCCCTCTTTCTATCACCCCTCTCCATTCTCACGCTTTCCATCACCCCACCCCATTCTCCCGCTTTCCATCACCCCGCCCCATTCTCCCTGTTTCCATCAGCCCGCCCCATTCTCCCCTTTTCCATCACCCCGCCCCATTCTCCCGCTTTCCATTACCCCGCCCCATTCTCCCGCTTTTTCATCACCCCGCCCCTATTCTCCCTCTTTCCATAACCCCGCCCTATTCTCCCTCTTTCCATCACCCCGCCCCATTCTCCCTCTTTCCATCACCCCACCCCATTCTCCCGCTTTCCATCACCCCGCCCCATTCTCCCGCTTTCCTTCACCCCGCCCCGTTCTCCCGCTTTCCATCACCCCGCCCTATTCTCCCTCTTTCCATCACCCCGACCCATTCTCCCGCTTTCCATCACCCCGCCCCATTCTCCCTCTTTCCATCACCCCGCCCCATTCTCCCGCTTTCCATCACCCCGCCCAATTCTCCCTCTTTCCATCACCCCGCCCCATTCTCCCGCTTTCCATAACCCCGCCCCATTCTCCCGCTTTCCATCACCCCGTTCTATTCTCCCGCTTTCCATCACCCCGCCCAATTCTCCCTCTTTCCATCACCCCTCCCCATTCTACCTCTTTCCATCACCCCGCCCCCCACTCTCCCTCTTTCCATCACCCACCCCATTCCCCCGCTTTCCATCACCCCGCCCCATTCTCCCTCTTTCCATCACCCCGCCCCATTCTCCCGCTTTCCATTACCCCGCCCCATTTTCCCTCTTTCCATCACCCCGCCCCATTCTCCTGCTTTCCATCACCCCGCCCCATTCTCCAGCTTTCCATCACCCCGCTCCATTCTCCCGCTATCAATCACCCCGCCCAATTCTCCCTCTTTCCATCACCCCGCCCCATTCTACCTCTTTCCATCACCCCGCCCCCCACTCTCCCTCTTTCCATCAACCCCCCCCCATTCTCCCGCTTTCCATCACCCCGCCCCATTCTCCCTCTTTCCATCACCCCGCCCCATTCTCCCTCTTTCCATCACCCCGCCCCATTCTCCCTCTTTCCATCACCCCGCCCCATTTTCCCTCTTTCCATCACCCCGCCCCATTCTCCCGCTTTCCATCACCCCGCCCCATTCTCCAGCTTTCCATCACCCCGCTCCATTCTCTTGCTTTCAATCACCCAGCCCAATTCTCCCTCTTTCCATCAACCCCCCCCCATTCTCCCGCTTTCCATCACCCCGCCCCATTCTCCGTCTTTCCATCACCCCGCCCCATTCTCCCGCTTTCCATCACCCCGCCCCATTCTCCCTCTTTTCATAACCCCGCCCCATTTTCCCTCTTTCCATCACCCCGCCCCATTCTCCCGCTTTCCATCACCCCGCCCCATTCTCCCTCTTTCTATCACCCCTCCCCCTTCCCCCGCTTTCCATCACCTCGCCCAATTCTCCCTCTTTCTATCACCCCTCCCCATTCTCCCTCTTTCTATCACCCCGCCCCATTCTCCCGCTTTCCATCACCCCGCCCCATTTTCCCTCTTTCCATCACCCCGCCCCATTCTCCCTCTTTCCATCACCCCACCACATTCTCCCGCTTTCCATCACCCCTCCCCATTCTCCCTCTTTCCATCACCCCGCCCCATTCTCCCACTTTCCGTCACCCCGCCCCATTCTCCCGCTTTCCATCACCCCGCTCCATTCTCCCTCTTTCCGTCACCCCGCCCCATTCTCCCGCTTTCCATCACCCCGCCCCATACTCCCTCTTTCCATCACCCCGCCCCATTCTCCCGCTTTCCATCACCCCGCTCCTTTCTCCCGCTTTCCATCACCCCGCCCAATTCTCCCTCTTTCCATCACCCCTCCCCATTCTCCCTCTTTCCTTCACCCCGCCCAATTCTCCCTCTTTCCATCACCCCGCCCCATTCTCCCTCTTTCCATCACCCCGCCCCATTCTCCCTCTTTCCATCACCCCGCCCCATTCTCCCGCTTTCCATCACCCCGCCCCATTTTCCCTCTTTCCATCACCCCGCCCCATTTTCCCTCTTTCCATCACCCCGCCCCATTCTCCCGCTTTCCATCACCCCGCCCCATTCTCCAGCTTTCCATCACCCCGCTCCATTCTCTTGCTTTCAATCACCCAGCCCAATTCTCCCTCTTTCCATCAACCCCCCCCCATTCTCCCGCTTTCCATCACCCCGCCCCATTCTCCGTCTTTCCATCACCCCGCCCCATTCTCCCGCTTTCCATCACCCCGCCCCATTCTCCCTCTTTCCTTAACCCCGCCCCATTTTCCCTCTTTCCATCACCCCGCCCCATTCTCCCGCTTTCCATCACCCCGCCCCATTCTCCCTCTTTCCTTAACCCCGCCCCATTCTCCCGCTTTCCATCACCCCGCCCCATTCTCCAGCTTTCCATCACCCCGCTCCATTCTCTTGCTTTCAATCACCCAGCCCAATTCTCCCTCTTTCCATCAACCCCCCCCCATTCTCCCGCTTTCCATCACCCCGCCCCATTCTCCGTCTTTCCATCACCCCGCCCCATTCTCCCGCTTTCCATCACCCCGCCCCATTCTCCCTCTTTCCTTAACCCCGCCCCATTTTCCCTCTTTCCATCACCCCGCCCCATTCTCCCGCTTTCCATCACCCCGCCCCATTCTCCCTATTTCCATCACCCCGCCCCATTCTCCCGCTTTCCATCACCCCGCTCCTTTCTCCCGCTTTCCATCACCCCGCCCAATTCTCCCTCTTTCCATCACCCCTCCCCATTCTCCCTCTTTCCATCACCCCGCCCAATTCTCCCTCTTTCCATCACCCCGCCCCATTCTCCCTCTTTCCATCACCCCGCCCCATTCTCCCTCTTTCCATCACCCCGCCCCATTCTCCCGCTTTCCATCACCCCGCCCCATTTTCCCTCTTTCCATCACCCCGCCCCATTCTCCCGCTTTCCATCACCCCGCCCCATTCTCCCTCTTTCTATCACCCCTCCCCATTCTCCCGCTTTCCATCACCCCGCCCAATTCTCCCTCTTTCTATCACCCCTCCCTATTCTCCCCTTTTCCATCCCCCCGCCCCATTCTCCCGCTTTCCATCACCCCGCCCCATTCTCCCTCTTTCCATCACCCCGCCCCATTCTCCCGCTTTCCTTTACCCCGCCCAATTCTCCCACTTTCCATCACCCCGCCCCATTCTCCCGCTTTCCATCACCCCGCCCCATTTTCCCGCTTTCCATCACCCCGCCCCATTCTCCCGCTTTCCATCACCCCGGCCCATTCTTCCGCTTTCCATCACCCTGCCCCATTCTCCCGCTTTCCATCACCCCGCCCCATTCTCCCGCTTTCCATCACCCCGCCCCATTCTCCCGCTTTCCATCACCCCGCCCCATTCTCAAGCTTTCCATCACCCCGCCCCATTCTCCTGCTTTCCCTCACCCCGCCCCATTCTCCCGCTTTTCATCACCCCGCCCCATTCTCCCGCTTTCCATCACCCCGCCCCATTCTCCTGCTTTCCATCACCCCGCCCTATTCTCCCGCTTTCCATCACCCCGCCCCATTCTCCCGCTTTCCATCACCCCGTCCCATTCTCCCTCTTTTCATCACCCCGCCCCATTCTCCCTCTTTCCACCACCCCGCCCCATTCTCCTGCTTTCCATCACCCCGGCCCATTCTCCCTATTTCCATCACCCCGCTCCATTCTCTCACTTTCCATCACCCCGCCCCATTCTCCCGCTTTCCGTCATCCCGCCCCATTCTCCCGCTTTCCATCACCCCGCCCTATTCTCTCTCTTTCCATCACCCCGCCCCAGTCTCCCTCTTTCCATCACCCCGCCCCATTCTCCCTCTTTCCATCACCCCGCCCCATTCTCCCTCTTTCCATCACCCCGCCCCATCCTCCCTATTTCCATCACCCCGCCCTATTCTTCCGCTTTCCATCACCCCGCCCCATTCTCCAGCTTACCATCACCCCGCCCCATTCTCCCGCTTTCCATCACCCCGCCCCATTCTCCAGCTTTCCATCACCCCGCCCCATTCTCCCGCTTTCCATCACCCCGCCCCATTCTCCCGCTTTCCATCACCCCGCCCCATTCTCCCGCTTTCCATCACCCCGCCCCATTCTCCCGCTTTCCATCACCCCGCCCCATTCTCCCGCTTTCCATCACCCCGCCCCATTCTCCCGCTTTCCATCACCCCGCCCCATTCTTCCGCTTTCCATCACCTCGCCCCATTCACCCCGCCCCATTCTCCTGCTTTCCACCACCCTGCCCCATTCTCCCGCTTTCCATCACCCTGCCCCATTCTCCCGCTTTCCATCACCCCGCCCCATTCCTCGCTTTCCATCACCCCGCCCCATTCTCCCGCTTTCCATCACCCCGCCCAATTCTCCTGCTTTCCATCACCCCGCCCAACTCTCAAGCTTTCCATCACCCCGCCCCATTCTCCCGCTTTCCATCACCCCGCCCCATTCTCCCGCTTTCCATCACCCCGCCCCATTCTCCCGCTTTCCATCACCCCGCCCCATTCTTCCGCTTTCCATCACCTCGCCCCATTCACCCCGCCCCATTCTCCTGCTTTCCACCACCCTGCCCCATTCTCCCGCTTTCCATCACCCTGCCCCATTCTCCCGCTTTCCATCACCCCGCCCCATTCCTCGCTTTCCATCACCCCGCCCCATTCTCCCGCTTTCCATCACCCCGCCCAATTCTCCTGCTTTCCATCACCCCGCCCAACTCTCAAGCTTTCCATCACCCCGCCCAATTCTCCTGCTTTCCATCACCCCGCCCCCATTCTCCCGCTTTCCATCACCCCGCCCCATTTTCCCTCTTTCCATCACCCCGCCCCATTCTCCCTCTTTCCATCACCCCACCACATTCTCCCGCTTTCCATCACCCCTCCCCATTCTCCCTCTTTCCATCACCCCGCCCCATTCTCCCACTTTCCGTCACCCCGCCCCATTCTCCCGCTTTCCATCACCCCGCTCCATTCTCCCTCTTTCCGTCACCCCGCCCCATTCTCCCGCTTTCCATCACCCCGCCCCATACTCCCTCTTTCCATCACCCCGCCCCATTCTCCCGCTTTCCATCACCCCGCTCCTTTCTCCCGCTTTCCATCACCCCGCCCAATTCTCCCTCTTTCCATCACCCCTCCCCATTCTCCCTCTTTCCATCACCCCGCCCAATTCTCCCTCTTTCCATCACCCCGCCCCATTCTCCCTCTTTCCATCACCCCGCCCCATTCTCCCTCTTTCCATCACCCCGCCCCATTCTCCCGCTTTCCATCACCCCGCCCCATTTTCCCTCTTTCCATCACCCCGCCCCATTTTCCCTCTTTCCATCACCCCGCCCCATTCTCCCGCTTTCCATCACCCCGCCCCATTCTCCAGCTTTCCATCACCCCGCTCCATTCTCTTGCTTTCAATCACCCAGCCCAATTCTCCCTCTTTCCATCAACCCCCCCCCATTCTCCCGCTTTCCATCACCCCGCCCCATTCTCCGTCTTTCCATCACCCCGCCCCATTCTCCCGCTTTCCATCACCCCGCCCCATTCTCCCTCTTTCCTTAACCCCGCCCCATTTTCCCTCTTTCCATCACCCCGCCCCATTCTCCCGCTTTCCATCACCCCGCCCCATTCTCCCTCTTTCCTTAACCCCGCCCCATTCTCCCGCTTTCCATCACCCCGCCCCATTCTCCAGCTTTCCATCACCCCGCTCCATTCTCTTGCTTTCAATCACCCAGCCCAATTCTCCCTCTTTCCATCAACCCCCCCCCATTCTCCCGCTTTCCATCACCCCGCCCCATTCTCCGTCTTTCCATCACCCCGCCCCATTCTCCCGCTTTCCATCACCCCGCCCCATTCTCCCTCTTTCCTTAACCCCGCCCCATTTTCCCTCTTTCCATCACCCCGCCCCATTCTCCCGCTTTCCATCACCCCGCCCCATTCTCCCTATTTCCATCACCCCGCCCCATTCTCCCGCTTTCCATCACCCCGCTCCTTTCTCCCGCTTTCCATCACCCCGCCCAATTCTCCCTCTTTCCATCACCCCTCCCCATTCTCCCTCTTTCCATCACCCCGCCCAATTCTCCCTCTTTCCATCACCCCGCCCCATTCTCCCTCTTTCCATCACCCCGCCCCATTCTCCCTCTTTCCATCACCCCGCCCCATTCTCCCGCTTTCCATCACCCCGCCCCATTTTCCCTCTTTCCATCACCCCGCCCCATTCTCCCGCTTTCCATCACCCCGCCCCATTCTCCCTCTTTCTATCACCCCTCCCCATTCTCCCGCTTTCCATCACCCCGCCCAATTCTCCCTCTTTCTATCACCCCTCCCTATTCTCCCCTTTTCCATCCCCCCGCCCCATTCTCCCGCTTTCCATCACCCCGCCCCATTCTCCCTCTTTCCATCACCCCGCCCCATTCTCCCGCTTTCCTTTACCCCGCCCAATTCTCCCGCTTTCCATCACCCCGCCCCATTCTCCCGCTTTCCATCACCCCGCCCCATTTTCCCGCTTTCCATCACCCCGCCCCATTCTCCCGCTTTCCATCACCCCGGCCCATTCTTCCGCTTTCCATCACCCTGCCCCATTCTCCCGCTTTCCATCACCCCGCCCCATTCTCCCGCTTTCCATCACCCCGCCCCATTCTCCCGCTTTCCATCACCCCGCCCCATTCTCAAGCTTTCCATCACCCCGCCCCATTCTCCTGCTTTCCCTCACCCCGCCCCATTCTCCCGCTTTTCATCACCCCGCCCCATTCTCCCGCTTTCCATCACCCCGCCCCATTCTCCTGCTTTCCATCACCCCGCCCTATTCTCCCGCTTTCCATCACCCCGCCCCATTCTCCCGCTTTCCATCACCCCGTCCCATTCTCCCTCTTTTCATCACCCCGCCCCATTCTCCCTCTTTCCACCACCCCGCCCCATTCTCCCGCTTTCCATCACCCCGGCCCATTCTCCCTATTTCCATCACCCCGCTCCATTCTCTCACTTTCCATCACCCCGCCCCATTCTCCCGCTTTCCGTCATCCCGCCCCATTCTCCCGCTTTCCATCACCCCGCCCTATTCTCTCTCTTTCCATCACCCCGCCCCAGTCTCCCTCTTTCCATCACCCCGCCCCATTCTCCCTCTTTCCATCACCCCGCCCCATTCTCCCTCTTTCCATCACCCCGCCCCATCCTCCCTATTTCCATCACCCCGCCCTATTCTTCCGCTTTCCATCACCCCGCCCCATTCTCCAGCTTACCATCACCCCGCCCCATTCTCCCGCTTTCCATCACCCCGCCCCATTCTCCAGCTTTCCATCACCCCGCCCCATTCTCCCGCTTTCCATCACCCCGCCCCATTCTCCCGCTTTCCATCACCCCGCCCCATTCTCCCGCTTTCCATCACCCCGCCCCATTCTCCCGCTTTCCATCACCCCGCCCCATTCTCCCGCTTTCCATCACCCCGCCCCATTCTCCCGCTTTCCATCACCCCGCCCCATTCTTCCGCTTTCCATCACCTCGCCCCATTCACCCCGCCCCATTCTCCTGCTTTCCACCACCCTGCCCCATTCTCCCGCTTTCCATCACCCTGCCCCATTCTCCCGCTTTCCATCACCCCGCCCCATTCCTCGCTTTCCATCACCCCGCCCCATTCTCCCGCTTTCCATCACCCCGCCCAATTCTCCTGCTTTCCATCACCCCGCCCAACTCTCAAGCTTTCCATCACCCCGCCCCATTCTCCCGCTTTCCATCACCCCGCCCCATTCTCCCGCTTTCCATCACCCCGCCCCATTCTCCCGCTTTCCATCACCCCGCCCCATTCTTCCGCTTTCCATCACCTCGCCCCATTCACCCCGCCCCATTCTCCTGCTTTCCACCACCCTGCCCCATTCTCCCGCTTTCCATCACCCTGCCCCATTCTCCCGCTTTCCATCACCCCGCCCCATTCCTCGCTTTCCATCACCCCGCCCCATTCTCCCGCTTTCCATCACCCCGCCCAATTCTCCTGCTTTCCATCACCCCGCCCAACTCTCAAGCTTTCCATCACCCCGCCCAATTCTCCTGCTTTCCATCACCCCGCCCCATTCTCCCGCTTTCCATCACCCCGCCCCATTCTCCCGCTTTCCATCACCCCGCCCCATTCTCCCGCTTTCCATCACCCTGCCCCATTCTCCCGCTTTCCATCACCCCGCCCCATTCTCCCGCTTTCCATCACCCCGCCCCATTCTCCCGCTTTCCATCACCCCGCCCCATTCTCCTGCTTTCCATCACCCCGCCCCATTCTTCCGCTTTTCATCACCCCGCCCCATTCTCCCGCTTTCCATCACCCCGCCCCATTCTCCTGCTTTCCATCACCCCGCCCCATTCTCCCGCTTTCCATCACCCCGGCCCATTCTCCCGCTTTCCATCACCCCGCCCCATTCTTCCGCTTTCCATCACCCCGCCCCATTCACCCCGCCCCATTCTCCTGCTTTCCACCACCCTGCCCCATTCTCCCGCTTTCCATCACCCTGCCCCATTCTCCCGCTTTCCATCACCCCGCCCCATTCCTCGCTTTCCATCACCCCGCCCCATTCTCCCGCTTTCCATCACCCCGCCCCATTCTCAAGCTTTCCATCACCCCGCCCAATTCTCCTGCTTTCCATCACCCCGCCCCATTCTCCCGCTTTCCATCACCCCGCCCCATTCTCCCGCTTTCCATCACCCCGCCCCATTCTCCCGCTTTCCATCACCCTGCCCCATTCTCCCGCTTTCCATCACCCCGCCCCATTCTCCCGCTTTCCATCACCCCGCCCCATTCTCCCGCTTTCCATCACCCCGCCCCATTCTCAAGCTTTCCATCACCCCGCCCCATTCTCCTGCTTTCCATCACCCCGCCCCATTCTCCCGCTTTTCATCACCCCGCCCCATTCTCCCGCTTTCCATCACCCCGCCCCATTCTCCTGCTTTCCATCACCCTGCCCTATTCTCCCGCTTTCCATCACCCCGCCCCATTCTCCCGCTTTCCATCACCCCGTCCCATTCTCCCTCTTTTCATCACCCCGCCCCATTCTCCCTCTTTCCACCACCCCGCCCCATTCTCCCGCTTTCCATCACCCCGGCCCATTCTCCCTATTTCCATCACCCCGCTCCATTCTCCCACTTTCCATCACCCCGCCCCATTCTCCCGCTTTCCTTCACCCCGCACCATTCTCCCGCTTTCCATCACCCCTCCCCATTCTCCTGCTTTCCATCATTCCGCCCCATTCTTCCGCTTTCCATCACCCCGCCCCATCACCCCGACCCATTCTCCCGCTTTCCACCACCCTGCCCCATTCTCCCGCTTTCCATCACCCTGCCCCATTCTCCCGCTTTCCATCACCCCGCCCTATTCCTCGCTTTCCATCACCCCGCCCCATTCTCCCGCTTTCCATCACCCCGCCCCATTCTCAAGCTTTCCATCACCCCGCCCCATTCTCCTGCTTTCCATCACCCCACCCCATTCTCCAGCTTTCCATCACCCCGCCCCATTCTCCCACTTTCCATCACCCCGGCCCATTCTCCCGCTTTCCATCACCCTGCCCCATTCTCCCGCTTTCCATCACCCCGCCCCATTCTCCCGCTTTCCATCACCCCGCCCCATTCTCCCGCTTTCCATCACCCCGCCCCATTCTCAAGCTTTCCATCACCCCGCCCCATTCTCCTGCTTTCCATCACCCCGCCCCATTCTTTCGCTTTTCATCACCCCGCCCCATTCTCCCGCTTTCCATCACCCCGCCCCATTCTCCTGCTTTCCATCACCCCGCCCTATTCTCCCGCTTTCCATCACCCCGCCCCATTCTCCCGCTTTCCATCACCCCGTCCCATTCTCCCTCTTTTCATCACCCCGCCCCATTCTCCCTCTTTCCACCACCCCGCCCCATTCTCCCGCTTTCCATCACCCCGGCCCATTCTCCCTATTTCCATCACCCCGCTCCATTCTCCCACTTTCCATCACCCCGCCCCATTCTCCCGCTTTCTGTCACCCCGCCCCATTCTCCCGCTTTCCATCACCCCGCCCCATTCTCTCTCTTTCCATCACCCCGCCCCAGTCTCCCTCCTTCCATCACCCCGCCCCATTCTCCCTCTTTCCATCACCCCGCCCCATTCTCCCTCTTTCCATCACCCCGCCCCATCCTCCCTATTTCCATCACCCAGCCCCATTCTCCAGCTTACCATCACCCCGCCCTATTCTCCCGCTTTCCATCACCCCGCCCCATTCTCCAGCTTTCCATCACCCCGCCCCATTCTCCCGCTTTCCATCACCCCGCCCCATTCTCCCGCTTTCCATCACCCCGCCCCATTCTCCCGCTTTCCATCACCCCGCCCCATTCTCCCGCTTTCCATCACCCCGCCCCATTCTTCCGCTTTCAATCACCCCGCCCCATTAAACATCTTTCCATCACCCCGCCCCATTCTCCCTCTTTCCATCACCGTGCCCCATTCTTCTACTTTTCATCACCCCGCCCCATTCTCCCTCTTTCCATCACCCCGCCCCATTCTTCTGCTTTTCATCACCCCGCCCCATTCTCCCTCTTTCCATCACCCTGCCCCATTCCCCCTCTTTCCATCAGCCCGCCCCATTCTCCCGCTTTCCACCACCCTGCCCCATTCTCCCGCTTTCCATCACCCTGCCCCATTCTCCCACTTTCCATCACCCCGCCCCATTCTCCCGCTTTCCATCACCCCGCCATATTCTTCCTCTTTCCATCACCCCGCCCCATTCTCCCGCTTTCCATCACGCCGCCCCATTCTCCTGCTTTCCATCACCCCGCCCCATTCTCCCGCTTTCCATCACCCCGCCCCATTCTCCTGCTTTCCATCACCCCGCCCCATTCTCCCGCTTTCCATCACCCAGCCCCATTCTCCCTCTTTCCATCACCCCGCCCCATTCTCCCTCTTTCCATCACCCCACCCTATTCTCCCACTTTCCATCACCCCGCCCCACTCTCCCGCTTTCCATCAACCCACCCCTTTCTCCCGCGTTCCATCACCCCGCCCCATTCTCCCGCTTTCCGTCACCCCGCCCCATTCTCCCGCTTCCAATCACCCCGCCCCATTCTCCCGCTTTCCACCACCCTGCCCCATTCTCCCGCTTTCCATCACCCTGCCCCATTCTCCCGCTTTCCATCACCCCGCCCCATTCCTCGCTTTCCATCACCCCGCCCCATTCTCCCGCTTTCCATCACCCCGCCCCATTCTCAAGCTTTCCATCACCCCGCCCCATTCTCCTGCTTTCCATCACCCCACCCCATTCTCCAGCTTTCCATCACCCCGCCCCATTCTCCCACTTTCCATCACCCCGGCCCATTCTCCCGCTTTCCATCACCCTGCCCCATTCTCCCGCTTTCCATCACCCCGCCCCATTCTCCCGCTTTCCATCACCCCGCCCCATTCTCCCGCTTTCCATCACCCCGCCCCATTCTCAAGCTTTCCATCACCCCGCCCCATTCTCCTGCTTTCCATCACCCCGCCCCATTCTCCCGCTTTTCATCACCCCGCCCCATTCTCCCGCTTTCCATCACCACGCCCCATTCTCCTGCTTTCCATCACCCCGCCCTATTCTCCCGCTTTCCATCACCCCGCCCCATTCTCCCGCTTTCCATCACCCCGTCCCATTCTCCCTCTTTTCATCACCCCGCCCCATTCTCCCTCTTTCCACCACCCCGCCCCATTCTCCCGCTTTCCATCACCCCGGCCCATTCTCCCTATTTCCATCACCCCGCTCCATTCTCCCACTTTCCATCACCCCGCCCCATTCTCCCGCTTTCTGTCACCCCGCCCCATTCTCCCGCTTTCCATCACCCCGCCCCATTCTCTCTCTTTCCATCACCCCGCCCCAGTCTCCCTCCTTCCATCACCCCGCCCCATTCTCCCTCTTTCCATCACCCCGCCCCATTCTCCCTCTTTCCATCACCCCGCCCCATCCTCCCTATTTCCATCACCCAGCCCCATTCTCCAGCTTACCATCACCCCGCCCTATTCTCCCGCTTTCCATCACCCCGCCCCATTCTCCAGCTTTCCATCACCCCGCCCCATTCTCCCGCTTTCCATCACCCCGCCCCATTCTCCCGCTTTCCATCACCCCGCCCCATTCTCCCGCTTTCCATCACCCCGCCCCATTCTCCCGCTTTCCATCACCCCGCCCCATTCTTCCGCTTTCCATCACCCCGCCCCATTAAACATCTTTCCATCACCCCGCCCCATTCTCCCTCTTTCCATCACCGTGCCCCATTCTTCTACTTTTCATCACCCCGCCCCATTCTCCCTCTTTCCATCACCCCGCCCCATTCTTCTGCTTTTCATCACCCCGCCCCATTCTCCCTCTTTCCATCACCCTGCCCCATTCCCCCTCTTTCCATCAGCCCGCCCCATTCTCCCGCTTTCCACCACCCTGCCCCATTCTCCCGCTTTCCATCACCCTGCCCCATTCTCCCACTTTCCATCACCCCGCCCCATTCTCCCGCTTTCCATCACCCCGCCATATTCTTCCTCTTTCCATCACCCCGCCCCATTCTCCCGCTTTCCATCACGCCGCCCCATTCTCCTGCTTTCCATCACCCCGCCCCATTCTCCCGCTTTCCATCACCCCGCCCCATTCTCCTGCTTTCCATCACCCCGCCCCATTCTCCCGCTTTCCATCACCCAGCCCCATTCTCCCTCTTTCCATCACCCCGCCCCATTCTCCCTCTTTCCATCACCCCACCCTATTCTCCCACTTTCCATCACCCCGCCCCACTCTCCCGCTTTCCATCAACCCACCCCTTTCTCCCGCGTTCCATCACCCCGCCCCATTCTCCCGCTTTCCGTCACCCCGCCCCATTCTCCCGCTTCCAATCACCCCGCCCCATTCTCCCGCTTTCCACCACCCTGCCCCATTCTCCCGCTTTCCATCACCCTGCCCCATTCTCCCGCTTTCCATCACCCCGCCCCATTCCTCGCTTTCCATCACCCCGCCCCATTCTCCCGCTTTCCATCACCCCGCCCCATTCTCAAGCTTTCCATCACCCCGCCCCATTCTCCTGCTTTCCATCACCCCGCCCCATTCTCCCGCTTTCCATCACCCCGCCCCATTCTCCCGCTTTCCATCACCCCGGCCCATTCTCCCGCTTTCCATCACCCTGCCCCATTCTCCCGCTTTCCATCACCCCGACCCATTCTCCCGCTTTCCATCACCCCGCCCCATTCTCCCGCTTTCCATCACCCCGCCCCATTCTCAAGCTTTCCATCACCCCGCCCCATTCTCCTGCTTTCCATCACCCCGCCCCATTCTCCCGCTTTTCATCACCCCGCCCCATTCTCCCGCTTTCCATCACCCCGCCCCATTCTCCTGCTTTCCATCACACCGCCCTTTTCTCCCACTTTCCATCACCCCGCCCCATTCTCCCGCTTTCCATCACCCCGTCCCATTCTCCCTCTTTTCATCATCCCGCCCCATTCTCCCTCTTTCCACCACCCCGCCCCATTCTCCCGCTTTCCATCACCCCGGCCCATTCTCCCTATTTCCATCACCCCGCTCCATTCTCCCACTTTCCATCACCCCGCCCCATTCTCCCGCTTTCCGTCACCCCGCCCCATTCTCCCGCTTTCCATCACCCCGCCCCATTCTCTCTCTTTCCATCACCCCGCCCCAGTCTCCCTCTTTCCATCACCCCGCCCCATTCTCCCTCTTTCCATCACCCCGCCCCATTCTCCCTCTTTCCATCACCCCGCCCCATCCTCCCTATTTCCATCACCCCGCCCCATTCTTCCGCTTTCCATCACCCCGCCCCATTCTCCAGCTTACCATCACCCCGCCCCATTCTCCCGCTTTCCATCACCCCGCCCCATTCTCCAGCTTTCCATCACCCCGCCCCATTCTCCCGCTTCCAATCACCCCGCCCCATTCTCCCGCTTTCCACCACCCTGCCCCATTCTCCCGCTTTCCATCACCCTGCCCCATTCTCCCGCTTTCCATCACCCTGCCCCATTCCTCGCTTTCCATCACCCCGCCCCATTCTCCCGCTTTCCATCACCCCACCCCATTCTCCCGCTTTCCATCACCCTGCCCCATTCACAAGCTTTCCATCACCCCGCCCCATTCTCCCGCTTTCCATCACCCCGCCCCATTCTCCCGCTTTCCATCACCCCGCCCCATTCTCCCGCTTTCCATCACCCCGCCCCATTCTCCCGCTTTCCATCACCCCGCCCCATTCTCCCGCTTTCCATCACCCTGCCCCATTCTCCCGCTTCCCATCACCCCGCCCCATTCTCTTGCTTTCCATCACCCCGCCCCATTCTCAAGCTTTCCATCACCCCGCCCCATTCTCCTGCTTTCCATCACCCCGCCCCATTCTCCCGCTTTTCATCACCCCGCCCCATTCTCCCGCTTTCCATCACCCCGCCCCATTCTCCTGCTTTCCATCACCCTGCCCTATTCTCCCGCTTTCCATCACCCCGCCCCATTCTCCCGCTTTCCATCACCCCGTCCCATTCTCCCTCTTTTCAGCACCCCGCCCCATTCTCCCTCTTTCCACCACCCCGCCCCATTCTCCCGCTTTCCATCACCCCGGCCCATTCTCCCTATTTCCATCACCCCGCTCCATTCTCCCACTTTCCATCACCCCGCCCCATTCTCCCGCTTTCCGTCACCCCGCCCCATTCTCCCGCTTTCCATCACCCCGCCCCATTCTCTCTCTTTCCATCACCCCGCCCCATTCTCCCTCTTTCCATCACCCCGCCCCATTCTCCCTCTTTCCATCACCCCGCCCCATCCTCCCTATTTCCATCACCCCGCCCCATTCTTCCGCTTTCCATCACCCCGCCCCATTCTCCAGCTTTCCATCACCCCGCCCCATTCTCCCGCTTTCCATCACCCCGCCCCATTCTCCAGCTTTCCATCACCCCGCCCCATTCTCCCGCTTTCCATCACCCCGCCCCATTCTCCCGCTTTCCATCACCCCGCCCCATTCTCCCGCTTTCCATCACCCCGCCCCATTCTCCCGCTTTCCATCACCCCGCCCCATTCTCCCGCTTTCCATCACCCCGCCCCATTCTCCCGCTTTCCATCACCCTGCCCCATTCTTCCGCTTTCCATCACCCCGCCCCATTCACCCCGCCCCATTCTCCCTCTTTCCATCAACCCGCCCCATTCTCCCGCTTTTCATCACCCTGCCCCATTCTCCCTCTTTCCATCACCCCGCCCCATTCTCCCTCTTTCCATCAGCCCGCCCCATTCTCCTGCTTTTCTTCACCCCTGTTAGAGACTAAGGATCGAGTCTATGAAGATTAGGTGCTCAAATTTATCAAAATCGTTGGTCTCAATTTCTGGACAGAAACGTCGACTTCACAAGAAACGTCGTCGACGGAAGGTGCACTGTTAGAATCCCACGAAATTCGAATATGTTGTAGCCCTAGACCGTGGCTACATTTACCAATTCGAATCGTATCAAAATATGATGCATATCTCGAGTTATGCGTTTCGGCGCACTAGGGGGTATGCTGCCACAGAAATTTAACTCAATCACAATTAACTCACAAGTTCCACAAAAGTGCACACAAGAGAGTTAGGGTAGCACTAAACCAGGTAGGAGGGAAGAGGAGGACGAGAGGGAAGGTCCCAAGAGATTCCCCAACCAAGGAAACCCCATGCCACACAATTCCCTTCCCCATAGGCAACCCCACTTTCACATTTGTCACTTTCCCAACTCATGCCATCCACCTCAACCCACTTGGCCACACTTGCCAACCTGGTTTGGCTTCACCCAACCACATGGCAGCATTCTACAGTGATGGGTTCGCATTCCCAACCCCCAAAAGTCTGTACCCCATATTGAGTCAACCCCACAACTTCCCATAGTCGCCACAACCGAAGTACAGAAAGCATACGAACCCCAACGTTCGTAACTTTCTTGATATTGCTCCGATCGCGACGATTCTTGGCTCGTCGGAAAGATCTTGAGTAGAGCTGTCACTTCAGATATCTGCCCAAGCCAAACATCATCCACACACACTTGAAAAATCCAAACCGCGCAAAACACAAATTCTTGCACACGTTCACACCACGCTTGCAACACACGAACACTTGATGGAGGCAGACAGACGTGAATGCATATGTTTGTATCACAACAAACTCCCCCTCTGGCTGCCAACCATCATCCCACATGCCTCAGCTCATGCATGCATCCTCAATGCACACTCATCCCAGCAAGTTTCATGCCCTTCCAATGCTCAGGTTCTGCCAGGCGCTTGGTGAGAATGTCAGCCGCCTGTTGCTGGGTTTTCACAAGTTCCAGTCGAACCTCCTTATCCAGGAGCCTCCTCGTCCAATGCCACTTAGGCCTGATGTGCTTTGTCAGGCCATGAAGACAGGCATTCTTCGCAAGCTTCACAGTTGACTCATTGTCACAGAAAATCACTGTCGGCTCCTTTTGACCAACCCAAATCTCCTCTAGCAAACGCCTTAGCCACACCACCTCCTTTGCCCCATGATGAAGGGCCATGTACTCTGTCTCACACGAGGACAGCCCCACCTCGTTTTGCTTCATGCTGCGCCAGCTCACTGCACCACCTCCAAAGAGGCACACATAGCCTCCAATGCTGGTGCCATTCGATTTCACAGAGTTGAAGCTAGCGTCGGTGTAGTACGTTAGGCGCATCTCCCCCTTGCTCAAGTCAGCTGCACCCCTCTGCAGCCTCTGTCGCACGGCACTGTACTCCAATCCCACTGATGCCGTTGCACTCACGTAGCGGACCAACCTCTTGGCCGCTTCCAGCTGCTCATGACTGGGGCGTGAAACCACACTTGCAAGCCTGGATGTAGCAAAGGCAATGTCAGGCCGCGTGTGGTTAGCCGAATAGTTGAGTGCCCCCACCATGGAGTGAAACAGCTTCCTGTCACTCTCTCCCACCACCTCCTCATCAGCACAAGGCTCTACGGTGAACCCTGAAGGCAGTGGGGTGGCTGGCTTCCCTCCATCTCGCAGCCCATACTTCTCGGCCAGCCCCTCACAATACTTCCTCTGGTGCAACCTCAACATTCCCTTGTCAAGGTCCCTCTTCACATGCATCCCCAGGTAGTACTTCACATCTCCCATCTTGGAGCACTTGAACTGCATTTCCAGCATCTCCTCCACACGCTCAATCATTGCAGACGACTCAGAGAAGAGCAGTATGTCGTCCACATACACCAGGAGCATGAGAAACTGCTCCTTCTCTTGCAGCAGGAACAAGCTGTGATCGCACTCACTCTTCTTGAACCCCCCAGCCAGCAGTGTCTCCTCCAGTTTGTGGTACCATGCACGAGGAGCCTGCTTCAGGCCATAGATGGCCTTCTTCAGCCTGCACACCCTGCCGCTCCCATCATCCAACCCCTCAGGCTACAGCATGTACAGCTCCTCCAGAATGACTCCATTGAGGAAGGCGGTGGTAATGTCCAGCTGCTTTACCCGCCATCCACGGTATGCGGCCATCGCCAAAGACACTCTCAGTGTTGTGCCTTTTCCCACAGGAGCATAGAGCTCATCAAAATCCTTCCCCTTCGTCTGCTGGAACCCCTTAGCGACAAGCCTTGACTTGTAGCGCGTCAGCTCCCCATCAGGTCCATACTTGTGCCTGAAGATCAGCTTCGAAGAGATTGCCTTCTTCCCAGGAGGCAGCTCACACAGCTCCCACGTCTCATTCTCCAGCAGAGAGTCATACTCCTCCTTCACACTCTGCTTCCACTTCTCAGCATCGGGCCCACTCAAGGCCTCGGTAAGTGTCTTGGGCTCAGGGACGGCTGCCCAGTAACAGTGCGCTATCTCCTCCTCATCACACTGCTCAGCCACACTTCCAGCATGCTCCACATTTCGTGAGCCAGTGCGATTATAGCTCAGCCTAATAGGTTGGCGTATATCCCTCCTAGGACACTCAGCCGTACGTGCGGCACCTCGTGGAGCATCTTGCTGCTGCTGCTGCGGCTGCTGCTGCTGCGGCTGCTGTTGCTGCTGCTGCTGCTGCTCCACCACCTCAGGTTCTCCCCCATCCCCAGTCACCCCAGAGATCTCCTCCTCTGAGATGGCAACCTCCACTTGCCTCGAAGGCCGCTGCATCTCATCGGCCTCAACGATCAGCGGTGTCGTAGGAAGCTTCTGCTGCTGCTGCTTCCACTCCTTGTAGTACAAGGACTCCAGGAACTTCACGTCCCTTGACACAGTCAGCTGCTGGCTGGTCAAGTCCCATATGAGCCAGCCCTTGTGGTCCTTCGCAAGTCCCAAGTGCACACCCCATCTTCCAGAAGCTTCCAACTTTCCCCTCTTCTCCTTCGGCACATGAAACACCACCATGCAGCCGTAGGCTCTCAGCATGTTGACTGCTGGTGCACTCCCATACCACTTGGTTTAAGGCACCCACTGCTTGTCCCCCACAGTCGCCAGCACCCGGTTCTTCACAACAACGACCTGCCGCAGTGCAGTCACCCAAAACGGATCCGGCAGCCCTGCACGCCCAAGGAGAGTGCGAGCACCTTCCTGCAGGGTCCGGTTGAACCGCTCAGCCACGCCGTTCTGCTGAGGGTTGTAGGGCACCGTGAGCTGATGCTGGATCCCCTTCTTCTTCAGCACCGCCTCAAAAACAGCGCCAATGAACTCTCCCCCATTGTCGGTGCGGATCACCTTCACTTTGTGTCCGCTCTCCCTTTGTGCTCTCGGCATCCACTCCTTGAGAACAGCCGCTGCCACCTCCCCCTTAGTCTTGAGAGGGTAGACCCACACCGCACGTGTGTGGTCATCCACAATGGTCAGGAAATAGCGGCTGCCCGAGAGAGAAGGGGCCCTCGTGGGGCCCACCACGTCCATGTGCACAAGTGCAAGTGGAGCCTTCGCTGGTCCCGTGCTGCTGCTGAAGGGAAACTTCGTGAACTTGGTCTCAAGGCATGTAGGGCAGCTCCCAATCTCCCTTGCTGCCCCCTTCACCTCCAATCCCTTCAGGTTCCCATCCTTCACCAATTTCTGCAGCATCGGAATGTTGATGTGGCACAACCTCTCGTGCCACGTCTCCCAATCGGCCTCACCACTCCCAGATGAAGCCTTTGCCCATGCAGCCGTTGCATCCACACCAGCAAGCACCTCACCATGTGATTGCTGTGGCTGCTGCACCTTCTTGACTGCATCCAGGGCCCCAGCAGTTGGTGCAGTCTCCTCTCCTCCCGCAGTTGCCTTAGCCGCTGCCGCTGCCTTTGCCGTTGCTGGAGGTTTTCCATTCCAAGGGATGATGGGCAGCTGCCACAGGTCCTTGATGCAGCTGCTCTTCTCCTCCAAATCCCACAGCAGCAACTTCCCAAGCTTTGCACGGCAGCTGGTTGGGCCGAACGTGACTTTGGCCTTGCTTTTCTGCAGCCGGCGCACAGAGAGGAGGTTAGCAGATAAACCATCCACCAATAGAACATTCCCAAGTCCAACAAGTCCCCCATTGGCTCCCATCACCTTGGCATTCCCAACACCAATCACAGGGAGCAAAGCACCTGACGCGGCAGCCACAAACTTGATCTTCCCAGGGGGTTTCACCTCATCGAGCAAATCTGCCCGCGGAGTCATGTGACTCGTGCAACCAGAATCGATCACCCAGTGAGTTAGGGGGTGCATTACAACCTTCCCAACCGAACCCACATCATCCTCACTCCCTTTCACTTCCTCAACCATGAGGAACAGCCCAGGGTCAGCTTTACCTTGTGCACCATCACCTTGTGCACCTGAACCTTGCACAGCACCACCTCGTGCGCGTTCACCACTTGGCGGCTTCATGCCTGGAGGTGCCCATCCCTCAGGCCGGCTGAAACACTTGAACCACGGGTGTCCAGCCTTCTTGCAGTACCAGCACGCACCCTCCATTCGGGTGCTCCCCCTGCCACCAGAGCTCCCATGCCCCTCATTGTAGTCACCTCGGCCTCTCTCTCTGCCAAAGCCTCTCCCACGGCCTCGGCCTCTCCCTCCCCCTCTCCCTCTGCTGCCTCCTGCAGCTCCATACCCCTCAGCAGTTTTGTTGGCGGCACCACCTCCAGTGTGGCGCCTGCGGAAGTCCTCCTGCAGGATCTGCTGCCGTAGCCACTCAGGCATCCATTTGTCCTGCTGAACGTTCAGGGTGGGGATGAGGTTGTCCCACGAGTTGTCGAGCACCGAGATGATCTTGGTGCACTGTTGCATCTGCGACACTTCGCTGCCCGCCGCTGCCATCCTCGCATAGGTGTCCTTGATCTTGTCAAGGACCGGCTTCACATCATCTCCCGGCCGCATGGAGAGGGCAGCCAACTCCTTCTCCAATACGATCACCATCGGCAGCGTGTTGGGTTGAACAACGTCGCGAAGCAGCTTCCACGCCTTCGGTCCCGAGTCATCGAGCTCCACCAGGTCCTTGATATGCTGGAACATATCATTGTTGACCGATTGAAGGATTAGGTCGTACAGCACCGCGCTCCTCTCAATCCATTTGTCGCGGGCATCACCTTCCTCCGGCATCTTCTCTTCTCCCATCGCAAGTTTTAGCAGCTTGTAGCGCTTGAAAGCGCTCCGCATCCGCCCGCTCCATTCCTCATAGTTGGAGCCGTCCAAAGCCTCGATCTTGGACGGTGGCGGTTCACTCTTCTTCTCAGCTCCTTCTCCACTCATCTCCTCTGCTCCCAATCAGAGGTTTCAGCTCCCCCTTTGCTGTCCACACCGAAGTCTCACACAATTTTCCACAGGTGTTGGCGCCAACGAAATTTTGGCAGAGTTTCCCCTTAACGGAAGTCACATCCAACCTCTAGAACTCCACTTAGACACGCCCACAGGCGAGTCTATGAAGATTAGGTGCTCAAATTTATCAAAATCGTTGGTCTCAATTTCTGGACAGAAACGTCGACTTCACAAGAAACGTCGTCGACGAAAGGTGCACAGTTAGAATCCCACGAAATTCGAATATGTTGTAGCCCTAGACCGTGGCTACATTTACCAATTCGAATCGTATCAAAATATGATGAATATCTCGAGTTATGCGTTTCGGCGCACTAGGGGGTATGCTGCCACAGAAATTTAACTCAATCACAATTAACTCACAAGTTCCACAAAAGTGCACACAAGAGAGTTAGGGTAGCACTAAACCAGGTAGGAGGGAAGAGGAGGACGAGAGGGAAGGTCCCAAGAGATTCCCCAACCAAGGAAACCCCATGCCACACAATTCCCTTCCCCATAGGCAACCCCACTTTCACATTTGTCACTTTCCCAACTCATGCCATCCACCTCAACCCACTTGGCCACACTTGCCAACCTGGTTTGGCTTCACCCAACCACATGGCAGCATTCTACAGTGATGGGTTCGAATTCCCAACCCCCAAAAGTCTGTACCCCATATTGAATCAACCCCACAACTTCCCATAGTCGCCACAACCGAAGTACAGAAAGCATACGAACCCCAACGTTCGTAACTTTCTTGACATTGCTCCGATCGCGACGATTCTTGGCTCGTCGGAAAGATCTTGAGTAGAGCTGTCACTTCAGATATCTGCCCAAGCCAAACATCATCCACACACACTCGAAAAATCCAAACCGCGCAAAACACAAATTCTTGCACACGTTCACACCACGCTTGCAACACACGAACACTTGATGGAGGCAGGCAGACGTGAATGCATATGTTTGCATCACAACAACCCCGCCCCATTCTTCCGCTTTTCATCACCCCGCCCCATTCTCCCGCTTTCCATCACCCCGCCCAATTCTCCCGCTTTCCATCACCCCGCCCCATTCTCCCGCTTTCCATCACCCCGACCCATTCTCCCGCTTTCCATCACTCCGCCCCATTCTCCCGCTTTCCATCACCCCGCCCTATTCTCAAGCTTTCCATCACCCCGCCCCATTCTCCCGCTTTCCATCACCCCGCCCCATTCTCCCGCTTTCCATCATCCCGCCCCATTCTCCCGCTTTCCATCACCCCGCACCATTCTCCCGCTTTCCATCACCCCGCCCCATTCTCCCGCTTTCCATCACCCCGCCCCATTCTCCCGCTTTCCATCACCCCGCCCCTTTCTCCCTCTTTCCATCACCCCGCCCCATTCTCCCGCTTTCCATCACCCCGCCCCATTCTCCCGCTTTCCATCACCCCACCCCATTCTCCCGTTTTCCATCACCCCGCCCCATTCTCCCGCTTTCCATCACCCCGCCCCATTCTCCCTCTTTTCATCACCCCGCCCCATTCTCCCTCTTTCCATCACCCCACCCCATCCTCCCTCTTTCCATCGCCCCGCCCCATTCTTCCGCTTTTCATCACCCCGTCCCATTCTCCCTCTTTCCATCACCCCGCCCCATTCCCCCTCTTTCCATCTGCCTGCCCCATTCTCCCGCTCTCCATCACCCCGCCCTATTCTCCCTATTTCTATCACCCCGCCCCATTCTCCCGCTTTCCATCACCCCGCTTTCCATCACCCCGCCCCATTCTCCCGCTTTCCATCACCCCACCCCATTCTCCCTCGTTCCATCACCCCGCCCCATTCTCCCTCTTTCCATCACCTCGCCCTATTCTCCCTCTTCCCATCACCCCGCCCCATTCTCCCGCTTTCCATTACCCCGCCCCATTCTCAAACTTTCCATCACCCCGCCCCATTCTCCCTCTTTCGATCACCCCTGCCCCATTCTCACGCTTTCCATCATCCCGCCCCATTCTCCCGCTTTCCATCACCCCGCCCCTTTCTTCCTCTTTCCATCACCCCGCCCCATTCTCCCGCTTTCCATCTGCCCAACCCATTCTCCCGCTTTCCATCACCCCGCCCCATTCTCCCGCTTTCCATCACCCCGCCCCATTCTCCCGCTTTCCATCACCCCGCCCCATTCTTCTGCTTTCCATCACCCCGCCCCATTCTTCCGCTTTCCATCTCCCCGCCCCATTCTCCCTCTCTCCATCACCCCGCCCCATTCTCCCGCTTTCCATCATCCCGCCCCATTCTCCCGCTTTCAATCACCCCGCCCAATTCTTCCGCTTTCCATCACCCCGCCCCATTCTCCCTCTTTCCATCAGCCCGCCCCATTCTCCCTCTTTCCATCACCCCGCCCCATTCTCCCGCTTTCCATCACCCCGCCCCATTCTCCCGCTATTGCATCACCCCGCCCCATTCTCCCTCTTTCCATAACCCCGCCCTATTCTCCCTCTTTCCATCACCCCGCAAATTCTCCCTCTTTCCAACACTCCACCCCATTCTCCCGCTTTCCATCACCCCGCCCCATTCTCCCGCTTTCCATCAACCCACCTCATTCTCCCGCTTTCCATCACCCCACCCCATAATCCCGCTTTCCATCACCCCGCCCCATTCTCCCGCTTTCCATCACCCCCCCCTATTCTCCCTCTTTCCATCACCCTGCCCCATTCTCCCGCTTTCCATCACCCCACCCGATTCTCCCGCTTTCCATCACCCCGCCCCATTCTCCCTCTTTCTATCACCCCGCCCCATTCTCCCGCTTTCCACCACCCCGCTCCATTCTCCCGCTTTCCATCACCCCGCTCAATTCTCCCTCTTTCCATCACCCCTCCCCATTCTCCCTCTTTCCATCACCCCGCCACATTCTCCCGCTTTCCATCACCCCGCCTCATTATCCCTCTTTCCATCACCCCGCCCCATTCTCCCGCTTTCCATCACACCGCCCCATTCTCCCTCTATCCACCACCCCGCCCTATTCTCCCTCTTTCCATCACCCCGCCCCATTCTCCCGCTTTCCATCACCCCGCCCCATTCTCCCGCTTTCCATCACCCCTCCCCATTCTCCCGCTTTCCATCACCTCGCCCCATTCTCCCGCTTTCCATCACCTCGCCCCATTCTCCCTCTTTCCATCACCCCGCCCTATTCTCCCTCTTTCCATCACCCCGCCCCATTCTCCCGCTTTCCATCACCACGCCCCATTCTCCCGCTTTCCATCACCCCACCCCATTCTCCCGCTTTCCATCACCCCGCTCCATTCTCCCGCTTTCCATCACCCCGCCCAATTCTCCCTCTTTCCATCACCCCTCCCCATTCTCCCTCTTTCCATCACCCCACCCCATTCTCCCGCTTTCCATCACCCCGCCCCATTCTCCCGCTTTCCATCACCCCGCCCCATTCTCCCGCTTTCCATCACCCCGCCCCATTCTCCCGCTTTCCATCACCCCGCCCCATTCTTCCGCTTTCCATCACCCCGCCCCATTCACCCCGCCCCATTCTCCCTCCTTCCATCAACCCGCCCCATTCTCCCGCTTTCCTTCACCCCGCCCCATTCTCCCGCTTTCCATCACACCGCCCCATTCTCCCTCTATCCACCACCCCGCCCTATTCTCCCTCTTTCCATCACCCCGCCCCATTCTCCCGCTTTCCATCACCCCGCCCCATTCTCCCGCTTTCCATCACCCCTCCCCATTCTCCCGCTTTCCATCACCTCGCCCCATTCTCCCGCTTTCCATCACCTCGCCCCATTCTCCCTCTTTCCATCACCCCGCCCTATTCTCCCTCTTTCCATCACCCCGCCCCATTCTCCCGCTTTCCATCACCACGCCCCATTCTCCCGCTTTCCATCACCCCACCCCATTCTCCCGCTTTCCATCACCCCGCTCCATTCTCCCGCTTTCCATCACCCCGCCCAATTCTCCCTCTTTCCATCACCCCTCCCCATTCTCCCTCTTTCCATCACCCCACCCCATTCTCCCGCTTTCCATCACCCCGCCCCATTCTCCCGCTTTCCATCACCCCGCCCCATTCTCCCGCTTTCCATCACCCCGCCCCATTCTCCCGCTTTCCATCACCCCGCCCCATTCTTCCGCTTTCCATCACCCCGCCCCATTCACCCCGCCCCATTCTCCCTCCTTCCATCAACCCGCCCCATTCTCCCGCTTTCCTTCACCCCGCCCCATTCTCCCTCTTTCCATCACCCCGCCCCATTCTTCCGCTTTTCATCACCCTACCCCATTCTCCCACTTTCCATCACCCCGCCCCATTCCCCCTCTTTCCATCAGCCCGCCCCATTCTCCCGCTTTTCTTCACCCCGCCCCATTCTTCCGCTTTTCATCACCCCGCCCCATTCTCCCGCTTTCCATCACCCCGCCCCATTCTCCCGCTTTCCATCACCCCACCCCTTTCTCCCTCTTTCCATCACCCCGCCCCATTCTCCCGCTTTCTATCACTCCGCCCCATTCTCCCGCTTTCCATCACCCCGCCCCATTCTCAAGCTTTCCATCACCCCGCCCCATTCTCCCGCTATCCATCACCCCGCCCCATTCTCCCGCTTTCCATCACCCCGCCCCATTCTCCCGCTTTCCATCACCCCGCCCCATTCTCTCGCTTTCCATCACCCCGCCCCATTCTCCCGCTTTCCTTCACCCCGCCCCATTCTCCCTCTTTCCATCACCCCGCCCCATTCTCCCGCTTTCCATCACCCGGCTCCATTCTCCCGCTTTCCATCACCCGGCCCAGTTCTCCCTCTTTCCATCACCCCTCCCCATTCTCCCTTTTTCCATCACCCCGCCCCATTCTCCCTCTTTCCATCACCCCGCCCCATTCTCCCGCTTTCCATCACCCCGCCCCATTCTCCCTCTTTCCATCACCCCGCCCCATTCTCCCGCTTTCCATCACCCCGCCCCATTCTCCCGCTTTCCATCACCCCGCCCCATTGTCCCTCTTTCCATCACCCTGCCCCATTCTCCCGCTTTCCACCACCCCGCTCCATTTTCTTGCTTTCCATCACCCCGCCCAATTCTCCCTCTTTCCATCACCCCGCCCCATTCTCCCTCTTTCCATCACCCCGCCCCATTCTCCCGCTTTCCATCACACCACCCCATTCTCCCGCTTTCGATCACCACGCCCCATTTTCCCTCTTTCCATCACCCCGCCCCATTCTCCCGCTTTCCATCACCCCGCCCCATTCTCCCGCTTTCCATCACCCCGCTCCATTCTCCCGCATTCCATCACCCCGCCCAATTCTCCCTCTTTCCATCACCCCTCCCCATTCTCCCTCTGTCCATCACCCCGCCCCATTCTCCCGCTTTCCATCACCCCGCCCCATTCTCCCTCTTTCCATCACCCCGCCCCATTCTCCCGCTTTCCATCACCCCGCCCCATTCTCCCGCTTTCCATCACCCCGCCCCATTCTTCCGCTTTCCATCACCCCGCCCCATTCACCCCGCCCCATTCTCCCTCTTTCCATCAACCCGCCCCATTCTCCCGCTTTTCATCACCCTGCCCCATTCTCCCTCTTTCCATCACCCCGCCCCATTCTCCCTCTTTCCATCAGCCCGCCCCATTCTCCTGCTTTTCTTCACCCCTGTTAGAGACTAAGGATCGAGTCTATGAAGATTAGGTGCTCAAATTTATCAAAATCGTTGGTCTCAATTTCTGGACAGAAACGTCGACTTCACAAGAAACGTCGTCGACGGAAGGTGCACTGTTAGAATCCCACGAAATTCGAATATGTTGTAGCCCTAGACCGTGGCTACATTTACCAATTCGAATCGTATCAAAATATGATGCATATCTCGAGTTATGCGTTTCGGCGCACTAGGGGGTATGCTGCCACAGAAATTTAACTCAATCACAATTAACTCACAAGTTCCACAAAAGTGCACACAAGAGAGTTAGGGTAGCACTAAACCAGGTAGGAGGGAAGAGGAGGACGAGAGGGAAGGTCCCAAGAGATTCCCCAACCAAGGAAACCCCATGCCACACAATTCCCTTCCCCATAGGCAACCCCACTTTCACATTTGTCACTTTCCCAACTCATGCCATCCACCTCAACCCACTTGGCCACACTTGCCAACCTGGTTTGGCTTCACCCAACCACATGGCAGCATTCTACAGTGATGGGTTCGCATTCCCAACCCCCAAAAGTCTGTACCCCATATTGAGTCAACCCCACAACTTCCCATAGTCGCCACAACCGAAGTACAGAAAGCATACGAACCCCAACGTTCGTAACTTTCTTGATATTGCTCCGATCGCGACGATTCTTGGCTCGTCGGAAAGATCTTGAGTAGAGCTGTCACTTCAGATATCTGCCCAAGCCAAACATCATCCACACACACTTGAAAAATCCAAACCGCGCAAAACACAAATTCTTGCACACGTTCACACCACGCTTGCAACACACGAACACTTGATGGAGGCAGACAGACGTGAATGCATATGTTTGTATCACAACAAACTCCCCCTCTGGCTGCCAACCATCATCCCACATGCCTCAGCTCATGCATGCATCCTCAATGCACACTCATCCCAGCAAGTTTCATGCCCTTCCAATGCTCAGGTTCTGCCAGGCGCTTGGTGAGAATGTCAGCCGCCTGTTGCTGGGTTTTCACAAGTTCCAGTCGAACCTCCTTATCCAGGAGCCTCCTCGTCCAATGCCACTTAGGCCTGATGTGCTTTGTCAGGCCATGAAGACAGGCATTCTTCGCAAGCTTCACAGTTGACTCATTGTCACAGAAAATCACTGTCGGCTCCTTTTGACCAACCCAAATCTCCTCTAGCAAACGCCTTAGCCACACCACCTCCTTTGCCCCATGATGAAGGGCCATGTACTCTGTCTCACACGAGGACAGCCCCACCTCGTTTTGCTTCATGCTGCGCCAGCTCACTGCACCACCTCCAAAGAGGCACACATAGCCTCCAATGCTGGTGCCATTCGATTTCACAGAGTTGAAGCTAGCGTCGGTGTAGTACGTTAGGCGCATCTCCCCCTTGCTCAAGTCAGCTGCACCCCTCTGCAGCCTCTGTCGCACGGCACTGTACTCCAATCCCACTGATGCCGTTGCACTCACGTAGCGGACCAACCTCTTGGCCGCTTCCAGCTGCTCATGACTGGGGCGTGAAACCACACTTGCAAGCCTGGATGTAGCAAAGGCAATGTCAGGCCGCGTGTGGTTAGCCGAATAGTTGAGTGCCCCCACCATGGAGTGAAACAGCTTCCTGTCACTCTCTCCCACCACCTCCTCATCAGCACAAGGCTCTACGGTGAACCCTGAAGGCAGTGGGGTGGCTGGCTTCCCTCCATCTCGCAGCCCATACTTCTCGGCCAGCCCCTCACAATACTTCCTCTGGTGCAACCTCAACATTCCCTTGTCAAGGTCCCTCTTCACATGCATCCCCAGGTAGTACTTCACATCTCCCATCTTGGAGCACTTGAACTGCATTTCCAGCATCTCCTCCACACGCTCAATCATTGCAGACGACTCAGAGAAGAGCAGTATGTCGTCCACATACACCAGGAGCATGAGAAACTGCTCCTTCTCTTGCAGCAGGAACAAGCTGTGATCGCACTCACTCTTCTTGAACCCCCCAGCCAGCAGTGTCTCCTCCAGTTTGTGGTACCATGCACGAGGAGCCTGCTTCAGGCCATAGATGGCCTTCTTCAGCCTGCACACCCTGCCGCTCCCATCATCCAACCCCTCAGGCTACAGCATGTACAGCTCCTCCAGAATGACTCCATTGAGGAAGGCGGTGGTAATGTCCAGCTGCTTTACCCGCCATCCACGGTATGCGGCCATCGCCAAAGACACTCTCAGTGTTGTGCCTTTTCCCACAGGAGCATAGAGCTCATCAAAATCCTTCCCCTTCGTCTGCTGGAACCCCTTAGCGACAAGCCTTGACTTGTAGCGCGTCAGCTCCCCATCAGGTCCATACTTGTGCCTGAAGATCAGCTTCGAAGAGATTGCCTTCTTCCCAGGAGGCAGCTCACACAGCTCCCACGTCTCATTCTCCAGCAGAGAGTCATACTCCTCCTTCACACTCTGCTTCCACTTCTCAGCATCGGGCCCACTCAAGGCCTCGGTAAGTGTCTTGGGCTCAGGGACGGCTGCCCAGTAACAGTGCGCTATCTCCTCCTCATCACACTGCTCAGCCACACTTCCAGCATGCTCCACATTTCGTGAGCCAGTGCGATTATAGCTCAGCCTAATAGGTTGGCGTATATCCCTCCTAGGACACTCAGCCGTACGTGCGGCACCTCGTGGAGCATCTTGCTGCTGCTGCTGCGGCTGCTGCTGCTGCGGCTGCTGTTGCTGCTGCTGCTGCTGCTCCACCACCTCAGGTTCTCCCCCATCCCCAGTCACCCCAGAGATCTCCTCCTCTGAGATGGCAACCTCCACTTGCCTCGAAGGCCGCTGCATCTCATCGGCCTCAACGATCAGCGGTGTCGTAGGAAGCTTCTGCTGCTGCTGCTTCCACTCCTTGTAGTACAAGGACTCCAGGAACTTCACGTCCCTTGACACAGTCAGCTGCTGGCTGGTCAAGTCCCATATGAGCCAGCCCTTGTGGTCCTTCGCAAGTCCCAAGTGCACACCCCATCTTCCAGAAGCTTCCAACTTTCCCCTCTTCTCCTTCGGCACATGAAACACCACCATGCAGCCGTAGGCTCTCAGCATGTTGACTGCTGGTGCACTCCCATACCACTTGGTTTAAGGCACCCACTGCTTGTCCCCCACAGTCGCCAGCACCCGGTTCTTCACAACAACGACCTGCCGCAGTGCAGTCACCCAAAACGGATCCGGCAGCCCTGCACGCCCAAGGAGAGTGCGAGCACCTTCCTGCAGGGTCCGGTTGAACCGCTCAGCCACGCCGTTCTGCTGAGGGTTGTAGGGCACCGTGAGCTGATGCTGGATCCCCTTCTTCTTCAGCACCGCCTCAAAAACAGCGCCAATGAACTCTCCCCCATTGTCGGTGCGGATCACCTTCACTTTGTGTCCGCTCTCCCTTTGTGCTCTCGGCATCCACTCCTTGAGAACAGCCGCTGCCACCTCCCCCTTAGTCTTGAGAGGGTAGACCCACACCGCACGTGTGTGGTCATCCACAATGGTCAGGAAATAGCGGCTGCCCGAGAGAGAAGGGGCCCTCGTGGGGCCCACCACGTCCATGTGCACAAGTGCAAGTGGAGCCTTCGCTGGTCCCGTGCTGCTGCTGAAGGGAAACTTCGTGAACTTGGTCTCAAGGCATGTAGGGCAGCTCCCAATCTCCCTTGCTGCCCCCTTCACCTCCAATCCCTTCAGGTTCCCATCCTTCACCAATTTCTGCAGCATCGGAATGTTGATGTGGCACAACCTCTCGTGCCACGTCTCCCAATCGGCCTCACCACTCCCAGATGAAGCCTTTGCCCATGCAGCCGTTGCATCCACACCAGCAAGCACCTCACCATGTGATTGCTGTGGCTGCTGCACCTTCTTGACTGCATCCAGGGCCCCAGCAGTTGGTGCAGTCTCCTCTCCTCCCGCAGTTGCCTTAGCCGCTGCCGCTGCCTTTGCCGTTGCTGGAGGTTTTCCATTCCAAGGGATGATGGGCAGCTGCCACAGGTCCTTGATGCAGCTGCTCTTCTCCTCCAAATCCCACAGCAGCAACTTCCCAAGCTTTGCACGGCAGCTGGTTGGGCCGAACGTGACTTTGGCCTTGCTTTTCTGCAGCCGGCGCACAGAGAGGAGGTTAGCAGATAAACCATCCACCAATAGAACATTCCCAAGTCCAACAAGTCCCCCATTGGCTCCCATCACCTTGGCATTCCCAACACCAATCACAGGGAGCAAAGCACCTGACGCGGCAGCCACAAACTTGATCTTCCCAGGGGGTTTCACCTCATCGAGCAAATCTGCCCGCGGAGTCATGTGACTCGTGCAACCAGAATCGATCACCCAGTGAGTTAGGGGGTGCATTACAACCTTCCCAACCGAACCCACATCATCCTCACTCCCTTTCACTTCCTCAACCATGAGGAACAGCCCAGGGTCAGCTTTACCTTGTGCACCATCACCTTGTGCACCTGAACCTTGCACAGCACCACCTCGTGCGCGTTCACCACTTGGCGGCTTCATGCCTGGAGGTGCCCATCCCTCAGGCCGGCTGAAACACTTGAACCACGGGTGTCCAGCCTTCTTGCAGTACCAGCACGCACCCTCCATTCGGGTGCTCCCCCTGCCACCAGAGCTCCCATGCCCCTCATTGTAGTCACCTCGGCCTCTCTCTCTGCCAAAGCCTCTCCCACGGCCTCGGCCTCTCCCTCCCCCTCTCCCTCTGCTGCCTCCTGCAGCTCCATACCCCTCAGCAGTTTTGTTGGCGGCACCACCTCCAGTGTGGCGCCTGCGGAAGTCCTCCTGCAGGATCTGCTGCCGTAGCCACTCAGGCATCCATTTGTCCTGCTGAACGTTCAGGGTGGGGATGAGGTTGTCCCACGAGTTGTCGAGCACCGAGATGATCTTGGTGCACTGTTGCATCTGCGACACTTCGCTGCCCGCCGCTGCCATCCTCGCATAGGTGTCCTTGATCTTGTCAAGGACCGGCTTCACATCATCTCCCGGCCGCATGGAGAGGGCAGCCAACTCCTTCTCCAATACGATCACCATCGGCAGCGTGTTGGGTTGAACAACGTCGCGAAGCAGCTTCCACGCCTTCGGTCCCGAGTCATCGAGCTCCACCAGGTCCTTGATATGCTGGAACATATCATTGTTGACCGATTGAAGGATTAGGTCGTACAGCACCGCGCTCCTCTCAATCCATTTGTCGCGGGCATCACCTTCCTCCGGCATCTTCTCTTCTCCCATCGCAAGTTTTAGCAGCTTGTAGCGCTTGAAAGCGCTCCGCATCCGCCCGCTCCATTCCTCATAGTTGGAGCCGTCCAAAGCCTCGATCTTGGACGGTGGCGGTTCACTCTTCTTCTCAGCTCCTTCTCCACTCATCTCCTCTGCTCCCAATCAGAGGTTTCAGCTCCCCCTTTGCTGTCCACACCGAAGTCTCACACAATTTTCCACAGGTGTTGGCGCCAACGAAATTTTGGCAGAGTTTCCCCTTAACGGAAGTCACATCCAACCTCTAGAACTCCACTTAGACACGCCCACAGGCGAGTCTATGAAGATTAGGTGCTCAAATTTATCAAAATCGTTGGTCTCAATTTCTGGACAGAAACGTCGACTTCACAAGAAACGTCGTCGACGAAAGGTGCACAGTTAGAATCCCACGAAATTCGAATATGTTGTAGCCCTAGACCGTGGCTACATTTACCAATTCGAATCGTATCAAAATATGATGAATATCTCGAGTTATGCGTTTCGGCGCACTAGGGGGTATGCTGCCACAGAAATTTAACTCAATCACAATTAACTCACAAGTTCCACAAAAGTGCACACAAGAGAGTTAGGGTAGCACTAAACCAGGTAGGAGGGAAGAGGAGGACGAGAGGGAAGGTCCCAAGAGATTCCCCAACCAAGGAAACCCCATGCCACACAATTCCCTTCCCCATAGGCAACCCCACTTTCACATTTGTCACTTTCCCAACTCATGCCATCCACCTCAACCCACTTGGCCACACTTGCCAACCTGGTTTGGCTTCACCCAACCACATGGCAGCATTCTACAGTGATGGGTTCGAATTCCCAACCCCCAAAAGTCTGTACCCCATATTGAATCAACCCCACAACTTCCCATAGTCGCCACAACCGAAGTACAGAAAGCATACGAACCCCAACGTTCGTAACTTTCTTGACATTGCTCCGATCGCGACGATTCTTGGCTCGTCGGAAAGATCTTGAGTAGAGCTGTCACTTCAGATATCTGCCCAAGCCAAACATCATCCACACACACTCGAAAAATCCAAACCGCGCAAAACACAAATTCTTGCACACGTTCACACCACGCTTGCAACACACGAACACTTGATGGAGGCAGACAGACGTGAATGCATATGTTTGCATCACAACAACCCCGCCCCATTCTTCCGCTTTTCATCACCCCGCCCCATTCTCCCGCTTTCCATCACCCCGCCCAATTCTCCCGCTTTCCATCACCCCGCCCCATTCTCCCGCTTTCCATCACCCCGACCCATTCTCCCGCTTTCCATCACTCCGCCCCATTCTCCCGCTTTCCATCACCCCGCCCTATTCTCAAGCTTTCCATCACCCCGCCCCATTCTCCCGCTTTCCATCACCCCGCCCCATTCTCCCGCTTTCCATCATCCCGCCCCATTCTCCCGCTTTCCATCACCCCGCACCATTCTCCCGCTTTCCATCACCCCGCCCCATTCTCCCGCTTTCCATCACCCCGCCCCATTCTCCCGCTTTCCATCACCCCGCCCCTTTCTCCCTCTTTCCATCACCCCGCCCCATTCTCCCGCTTTCCATCACCCCGCCCCATTCTCCCGCTTTCCATCACCCCACCCCATTCTCCCGTTTTCCATCACCCCGCCCCATTCTCCCGCTTTCCATCACCCCGCCCCATTCTCCCTCTTTTCATCACCCCGCCCCATTCTCCCTCTTTCCATCACCCCACCCCATCCTCCCTCTTTCCATCGCCCCGCCCCATTCTTCCGCTTTTCATCACCCCGTCCCATTCTCCCTCTTTCCATCACCCCGCCCCATTCCCCCTCTTTCCATCTGCCTGCCCCATTCTCCCGCTCTCCATCACCCCGCCCTATTCTCCCTATTTCTATCACCCCGCCCCATTCTCCCGCTTTCCATCACCCCGCTTTCCATCACCCCGCCCCATTCTCCCGCTTTCCATCACCCCACCCCATTCTCCCTCGTTCCATCACCCCGCCCCATTCTCCCTCTTTCCATCACCTCGCCCTATTCTCCCTCTTCCCATCACCCCGCCCCATTCTCCCGCTTTCCATTACCCCGCCCCATTCTCAAACTTTCCATCACCCCGCCCCATTCTCCCTCTTTCGATCACCCCTGCCCCATTCTCACGCTTTCCATCATCCCGCCCCATTCTCCCGCTTTCCATCACCCCGCCCCTTTCTTCCTCTTTCCATCACCCCGCCCCATTCTCCCGCTTTCCATCTGCCCAACCCGTTCTCCCGCTTTCCATCACCCCGCCCCGTTCTCCCGCTTTCCATCACCCCGCCCCATTCTCCCGCTTTCCATCACCCCGCCCCATTCTTCCGCTTTCCATCACCCCGCCCCATTCTTCCGCTTTCCATCTCCCCGCCCCATTCTCCCTCTCTCCATCACCCCGCCCCATTCTCCCGCTTTCCATCATCCCGCCCCATTCTCCCGCTTTCAATCACCCCGCCCAATTCTTCCGCTTTCCATCACCCCGCCCCATTCTCCCTCTTTCCATCAGCCCGCCCCATTCTCCCTCTTTCCATCACCCCGCCCCATTCTCCCGCTTTCCATCACCCCGCCCCATTCTCCCGCTATTGCATCACCCCGCCCCATTCTCCCTCTTTCCATAACCCCGCCCTATTCTCCCTCTTTCCATCACCCCGCAAATTCTCCCTCTTTCCAACACCCCACCCCATTCTCCCGCTTTCCATCACCCCGCCCCATTCTCCCGCTTTCCATCAACCCACCTCATTCTCCCGCTTTCCATCACCCCACCCCATAATCCCGCTTTCCATCACCCCGCCCCATTCTCCCGCTTTCCATCACCCCCCCCCTATTCTCCCTCTTTCCATCACCCTGCCCCATTCTCCCGCTTTCCATCACCCCACCCGATTCTCCCGCTTTCCATCACCCCGCCCCATTCTCCCTCTTTCTATCACCCCGCCCCATTCTCCCGCTTTCCACCACCCCGCTCCATTCTCCCGCTTTCCATCACCCCGCTCAATTCTCCCTCTTTCCATCACCCCTCCCCATTCTCCCTCTTTCCATCACCCCGCCACATTCTCCCGCTTTCCATCACCCCGCCTCATTATCCCTCTTTCCATCACCCCGCCCCATTCTCCCGCTTTCCATCACACCGCCCCATTCTCCCTCTATCCACCACCCCGCCCTATTCTCCCTCTTTCCATCACCCCGCCCCATTCTCCCGCTTTCCATCACCCCGCCCCATTCTCCCGCTTTCCATCACCCCTCCCCATTCTCCCGCTTTCCATCACCTCGCCCCATTCTCCCGCTTTCCATCACCTCGCCCCATTCTCCCTCTTTCCATCACCCCGCCCTATTCTCCCTCTTTCCATCACCCCGCCCCATTCTCCCGCTTTCCATCACCACGCCCCATTCTCCCGCTTTCCATCACCCCACCCCATTCTCCCGCTTTCCATCACCCCGCTCCATTCTCCCGCTTTCCATCACCCCGCCCAATTCTCCCTCTTTCCATCACCCCTCCCCATTCTCCCTCTTTCCATCACCCCACCCCATTCTCCCGCTTTCCATCACCCCGCCCCATTCTCCCGCTTTCCATCACCCCGCCCCATTCTCCCGCTTTCCATCACCCCGCCCCATTCTCCCGCTTTCCATCACCCCGCCCCATTCTTTCGCTTTCCATCACCCCGCCCCATTCACCCCGCCCCATTCTCCCTCCTTCCATCAACCCGCCCCATTCTCCCGCTTTCCTTCACCCCGCCCCATTCTCCCGCTTTCCATCACACCGCCCCATTCTCCCTCTATCCACCACCCCGCCCTATTCTCCCTCTTTCCATCAGCCCGCCCCATTCTCCCGCTTTCCATCACCCCGCCCCATTCTCCCGCTTTCCATCACCCCTCCCCATTCTCCCGCTTTCCATCACCTCGCCCCATTCTCCCGCTTTCCATCACCTCGCCCCATTCTCCCTCTTTCCATCACCCCGCCCTATTCTCCCTCTTTCCATCACCCCGCCCCATTCTCCCGCTTTCCATCACCACGCCCCATTCTCCCGCTTTCCATCACCCCACCCCATTCTCCCGCTTTCCATCACCCCGCTCCATTCTCCCGCTTTCCATCACCCCGCCCAATTCTCCCTCTTTCCATCACCCCTCCCCATTCTCCCTCTTTCCATCACCCCACCCCATTCTCCCGCTTTCCATCACCCCGCCCCATTCTCCCGCTTTCCATCACCCCGCCCCATTCTCCCGCTTTCCATCACCCCGCCCCATTCTCCCGCTTTCCATCACCCCGCCCCATTCTTCCGCTTTCCATCACCCCGCCCCATTCACCCCGCCCCATTCTCCCTCCTTTCCATCAACCTCGCCCCATTCTCCCGCTTTCCTTCACCCCGCCCCCATTCTCCCTTCTGTTCCATCACCCCCGCCCCATTCCTTCCGCCTTTTCATTACACCCTACCCCCCTATTGCTCTCCCACTTTCCATCACCCCGCCCCATTCCCCCTCTTTCCATCAGCCCGCCCCATTCCTCCCGCTTTTTTCTTCACCGGCGCCCATTCTTCCGCTTTCATCACCCAGCCTCATTCTCCCGCTTTCAATCACCCCGCCCCATTCTCCGCTTTCCATCACCCCACTCCTTTCTCTCCTCTTTCATCACCCCGCCCCATTCTCCCGCATTTTCCTAATACTCCGCTCCCATTACTCCTGCTTCCATCACCACCGCCCATTCTCAAGCTTTCCATCACATCGCCCCATTCTCCCGCTAATCCATCACCCGCCCCATTCTCCCGCTTTCCCTCACCCCGCCCCATTTATCAGCTTTCCATCCACCCGCCCCATTCTCTCGATTTCCATCACCCCGCCCCAGTCTCCCGTTATCCAGCACCCCCGCCCCATTCTCCCGCTTTGCCATCACCAGCCCATTCTCCGCTTTCCAATCACCCCGCCCCATTCTACTCGCTTTTATCCATCACCCCGCCCCATTCCCTCCCGCTTCCACCACCCGCTCCATTTTTTGTTTCATCACCTCGCTACAATTCGCCCTCTTTTCCATCACCCCGCCCCCATTCTCCCTCTTTCCATCACCCCGCTTTCCATCACCC